AACCTCCTCAAGTGTCGTCTATATGCAATGCTTCCTCATTCTTATAACATTACTTGTTTCCTTGAAAATACTGCAAATACTGCAAAACCCTGATCTTCGAATTTGGAACAACACCTCACTCAAACATTTTGCCAAACACTTGGTGTGCGATACTCAGGTTCCAAATCAAGAAAACAGACCCTAAGCATCTTCATGTTGTAGGATCTTTCGGTAAGGCTTTAACTCCGAGGACCCGATTCAAAGACCCGAATAAGGATTTAGGATCCTCCTCACACGACTCTCGTCACTCTCCAGTTCCATTTCCCGTTGAAGAAGATCAACTAGGGTTTCAAATCTCAGTTCTTGAGTACTTTTACTTGGCAAAAGAATCAGAGATTAAAAAAGGCCATTATTGATAAATGGGCTTCATATTAGTTGAGGCCCACTGAAATGATTTCAAGTGGGCCCATCCGATAACTACCTCCTTTACCTTCTTACACAAGAAATCACACAAACCCTAGTGCTCTTATATGACTGGTACAATTCAGTCCAGAAAATAAAATCTCTTTCAATCAATTATATCACTAAAGCTGTTTTATGATGTTGATAATTATTTCTTGATTGCAGCTTTCACAATTGCCATTAAAACCCTAAACCGCAGCTCAAACTTGTTGACCAGTTTTAAAACCCTGAAGAGTCAAATCGTGAACATTAGAGATTTCACACATAAAATATCTAATTCAGGGTGGACACAATCTTCTTCTTATATGCGAATGATTCGTTTGCCACTTTCCACGGTTTCACCTATTTCACTATTCAAAACCATCGTGTTGCATTACTCATTAGTTCTAGACAATTCGATCCTCCATTGGGCGAGTAAATGATAACACTCTAAATTTGTATTATTACACTTTTAAAATTAAAGTTATATACAAAAATGAGATATATAGTGCAAACTAGATGGATCCAATGAAAGAAAAAAAGGTGTAAAAGGGATCCAATGAAGATGTGAACAATATAACATGGAGAATTGTTTAGTGAAAGTTATAAATCTCACCTGATTATGATTAGTATATCTTGTTAAAAAAGTGTTTTCTTTTTTCCCAGTCATCTCGAATCTGAATCAAATGACATTTGATTTAGAAAATGCTCATCTTGCATATTATTTATTAGTGGCTTCTTTATTATTAGTGGTTTATCTATCTAGCTAAGAAGAATATTAATAAATGTGATCTTTTTCTTTCAGAATAGAAATAATGTAGAGTTGATTGTTGTCTTTTTTCATTTTGAGTTTATGTAGTAGTGTGTATCTTCAAAAATAACCAACGCAAAACGCAAAATAGCTGTCTCTTTGCGTTGGAAAAGTGTCAGTTTGCATAAGACAATTGCACAATAATATATACTTCAATATCTAATTAAAGTTAGAAACTGTATTAGTTTGGACAAATACTTTTTTATTTAATATTCTTATGAATTTGGAAACTTCAGCTTTATATATGCTCGTTTATTAAGTTAAAAAGATGCCACGGTCTAAATTAAGAGTTAGTCTAGTAGTGATATTTGAAGTAGGCCTGGGCATTCGGTTAACCATTCGGTTTCGGTTCGGTTACGTTTGGTTTCGGTTAGTTTGGATATGGTAATATAATAACCATTCGGATATTTTAAGAATTTCGGTTCGGTTCGGTTCGGTTACCTTTCGGTTCGGTTCGGTTTGGATATTTAAATAGATAACCGTAACTAACCAAACTTTTATCACGTTCGGTTTGGTTCGGGTTTTTACCCAAATTAACCAAAATTTACCGTAACTAACCGAAACTAACCAAAATTTACCGTAACTAACCGAAACTAACCAAAATTAACCACAAAAAAATACAAAAAGAAAATACAAAAAAAGAAAGTATTAGAAAAAAATATTAAAATTTGATTCGATTTTGTAAAAGAGTATTTAACTTTGACAAATATAACAAACAATATTTGAATATTTTGATTATTTAAAGTATTTGATTATTTTGATTCTAAAAATAATTAATATTTTGAGTTTATAATTATAGTTTTGGATATTATTTTTGGGTATCTTATAGGTTTTTGGATATTTCGGTTAACCGTTTGGTTATCGGTTCGGTTCGGTTCGGTTTCGGTTAGTTTGGATAGGGGATTTTACAAACCATTCGGTTATTTTAAAAACTTCGGTTCGGATATGGTTCGGTTTTTTTCGGTTCGGTTCGGTCGGTTATTTGGTTAGCGGTTTTTTTGCCCAGGCCTATTTGAAGGTTCATTCTTCTTTCCCATATGATATTTGACTCTACATGCTTGATTTGAGTATTTTTTTAGTTTACCTTTTCTCCCTAAATTCCTTTGCCCTCTGGTATTCTCTTTCCCTTCATTCGTTCTTTTCATTATAATATATAATAATAAAAATTGGTTAAAAAATAATAAATTACTAGATTACCAAATTCAAATCTTAGTTCAGTTACTATTAATGTATTCTAATTTATTCTTGAGTTCTTCAAAAAATTATATGTGGGCTTTTTGCCGGCTTTGGAATTAATTTGTCATTAATTTGAAGTTTTGTTTTCGTTTCGCTTAATTTCAATTTGTCTATTTTCATAAGTTTCAACTTTCAATGTTGCTCCGAGTTTTTCAGAAAACATGTTTTTTCTTATTGATCCAAAATTTTACTTAAAACAGTGAGGGAATTTAATCGAGATAGAGATTTTTTGATAGGTAGGATCCATATAGTATTTTGTAAATTTCAGGCGTCGTACATTTTTTTTTGCGATGATCAGTGGCCACAAAATTCCTAGCTATGCTTAGAAGATAGAGGTTATATTTTAAATTAGTGAGGTACATGTCGACCCACACTAAATATTCTTAACTTTTTTTAAAAACGTTATTATTGTCTCGTTACTTTCGATGGCTTTTCTGTTCCCTCCGACTATTTGTAGTGGGTTTGTTAGATATGGTTCAGAAATTCTGTTCTTTTCCTAAAAAACATGTCGTGGAAAAAAAACACAAACATGTAGTTGAGTTTTTTTTCATTTGCAAAAGTTTGTATAGCTTGTTTAGTGCCTGATAAATTTATTCTCAATGTTTTTTTTTTTATTCTCAATGTCAAGAAAACCAAATGAGGTAAATGGAGAATGACTTAACAAAAAAGGGAGAATGATTCAGTGCCTAGGGCCTAAAACATTTAATTGGGTTTAGTCTTGCATGTATAAAATAAAATTGTATATCATATATTTTGACGTATTTATTGAGTTAAATAATTTATAAACAATATAATAAATTACATTTTATAAGTTGTAAGATAGATAAATAATCGTAGCTGGTAAGAAAAACAAGCCGGTTAAAATAAAAAAATTGCTCGATTTATAGTTTTGTAATATAAAATTTGTTTTTCTAATTCAAGTTCTAACCTCTGTGTTCTAAATCTAGATAAATCATTGGAAATAATATATTTGAAGGAGTAAACCAACATAAGTTTTAACGTACTTAAATATTTGTACTAACAAGACAAAAACGTTTAGGCTTCTTAATCCGTTTAAAAGTAAATGGCATATAGAGAAAATCCGTCTAACTTCTAAAATCGTGACCTATATGACTTTAAAGGCTTAAACGCTTAAACACTTGTTTGAGAAAAATTATGTCAAACCAACTCAAGAGAAAAAGATTAACCTTTTAAACATACCGTAAAAAGTATGAGCCATGCATAAGTAACTAAGCAAGCAAATCCCAAATTAATTCCACTTTCACGACCACTCGTGCACTCGAACTCAGATAGCAATACCAACTCCTTGTCGTCTTTTCCTTCTTTTTTTTTCGTATCAAAAAAGTTTTGTCAAGTTCAATCTTGATAGATTGCGATCAGTCTCATCAATGAAAATAGTAATATTTCTTCTTTTAATTAAGATTTTTTTTACTATCCACGCGTGTTAAAATTAAGGGTAAATTTGCTAGATGATTATATAGAGACGTAATCTGCAAAGAATACGCAATAGAAAATTAGTAAATGTGTGGCATTTTTTCACTTGCGTTTGATTTAAAAGACATATAGACCTCAACTTAGAATATTCTGTTAATTAAAAGCCCTTTTATAAAAATATATATATATCTGTTAACCTTAATAGTTAATACCAAACAATGATATTTGTAAATATATATATATATATATATATGCATGACTTGTCGTGATAGAATTCACAACCTTTTTTTTCCTTTAATAACACTTTTAATTTAATTTACTTTAAAGTGGAATCGTATAATACAATAATATATAATAAAAAATTTACAAAAAAATTGGTAGATTAACAGGACTACTTTTTATCTTGATTATCATTCACATAACACCTAGAATCACTTTCAGTGAATTACTAATAGAAAAGTTTGTATTATATATGGGATAAGTGGAAGTTTAATTTAGATATAGACTAATTCTCAAACCAAAAGAAACTAATGTATTTCTCTACAACTTTTACTATAGCATTGAAAATATTTTTCAGAAGCGATCCGTAATTATTTTTGAGGTGATGAATTTTTTAAAATATGGGAAGGCCAAAATTTGCAGTAGATGACACGGACACAGCCAATTTACATCTGTCTCATATAACGTATGCTGTGGATTCCAAATAAAAAGAAAAGAATTAATAAATTTCTATCGCTGCAATTAAACAGGTTGTGGGAATATTAAGTAACTTATACCAACTTAGCGAATAATTCATTATTTTTATTGTTTTATCTAGAATATTGCAAATGTTATTAATTATAATAGTATTTGATGAATTTAATAATATCTTATACTAAATTATTTAACGTTGAAATCCTATTGGAATACGAATAACGAATATATATACATGAAAAATTAAAGGTTGTGGTGTGAAGTGAATGAACATAACTACATATACATGTTTGATTATTTTTTCATTAAGACAAATACATGTTTTATAAGATTTTAGATAAGTTCAGGAGTATAAATAAATCAAAGTAAGTCCAATGTGGAACAACCCATAGACACTCTTTTATAAATATGCATGGGAGGCATTGTGTGGTTGCCAAACTCAAAGCACATTGGGTCTTATCTCTCTCTAACACACATACACACAAACTCACATATAGAGATGGGTGAAGGTATGATTGGAGTGAGAGTAGTAGAAAAATATTCACCGGTCATAGTGATGGTGATGTCAAACGTAGCGATGGGTTCGGTGAATGCACTTGTGAAGAAAGCTCTTGATGTTGGTGTGAACCATATGGTCATTGGTGCTTATCGAATGGCTATTTCCGCTTTCATTTTGGTTCCCTTTGCCTATATCTTGGAAAGGTTTGATATTTTGATGAAATAACGTAACGAGTTACTTATGTGTTTTGTTTTTCTAAACAAAGAGTTGTATATTGTTATCATATATAGTTTTAATGAATTTTCTAAAGATTATGTATTATTGTTAAATAGGAAAACAAGACCACAGATAACGTTTAGGCTAATGATCGATCATTTCGTCAGTGGCCTTCTCGGGTTAGTCCTCTCAAAGTCAAAACTAATTGCAATTTGTTATATTCTTTTGTCGGCCATTTCCAGTTTCTTCTTATAATTTAATTCTGTACTACGTTGATTATTTTTTTATGCGTAGGTAAAACTAATCATAATAAGCTCAACTAATTATTAAGATTATTTATTTATTTATTTTTGGGTTTAAATTGGCAGGGCGAGTTTGATGCAATTTTTCTTTTTGCTTGGTCTGTCGTACACGTCAGCAACTGTTTCGTGTGCTTTGGTAAGCATGTTGCCTGCAATCACCTTCGCTTTGGCCCTTATTTTCAGGTAACGATGGACCCATCTAACTTCTTTACCACTAATTGATAGTATTATATATTGTTCTCTATATTTTAAAAAAGCAACAACGAAAGTATAGCCAATAAAAAATATTCTTTTAGTTAGTTTTAATGCAATATATTTGGATTTTCATCAAATTAATTACCTGAAGTATACGTAACTGCATCCACTGAGACCTCTTTCTATAGCTTTTCCTGGCAAAATGTCCTTTTATAGCTATACGTCGCATTTTTATAAACTTTGATGGAATGATGCGGAAAACTATTTAAAAGCGACTCGTTGATTCAAATGAAATATATATTATCATTTAAATTTAAAATTAATTATCGCTTATAGCCACACGCACACATGGATTATGTCGATTTAAGCTTGTTAATTACTCTATTTTGTAACGCAAGAAAAAAAAAAGGATTTACTTTGCAATATGTTCTAAATAAATTATCTCAAAATTATCATTAAAATTTTACTTTTTTTTAGGACTGAAAATGTAAAGATTCTAAAGACCAAAGCAGGAATGTTGAAGGTGATTGGAACTTTGATATGTATAAGTGGAGCTTTGTTCTTAACATTTTACAAAGGCCCACAAATATCAAACTCTCACTCTCACGGAGAGGCTTCCCACAACAAAAACGATCAAGACAACGCCAATAATTGGCTTCTTGGATGTCTTTACTTAACCATAGGAACTGTGTTGCTATCTCTATGGATGTTGTTTCAAGGGACTTTAAGTATTAAGTACCCTTGCAAATACTCGAGCACTTGTCTTATGTCAATCTTCGCGGCATTCCAATGTGCTCTCTTGAGTCTTTACAAAAGCAGAGACGTTAATGATTGGATCATCGATGATAGATTCGTGATCACCGTCATCATATACGCTGTAAGTTATAAATATCATATCTTTATAAATTGAAAATTGTCTTAAATTAATTTTATAAATGATAAGATTAATTAGTATGTAAGAACTTAAGACATTGTGGGGTTTTATCGTATAACTCATATTATAGGGAGTGGTAGGACAAGCAATGTCGACGGTAGCAACAACATGGGGGATAAAGAAATTAGGAGCTGTGTTCGCATCGGCATTTTTTCCACTTACTCTCATTTCGGCTACTCTATTTGATTTCCTAATTTTACACACTCCTTTATACCTTGGAAGGTACTTTCTTCGATCATCTCTATCAAATTAATGTAGTTTTATACTGTAAATGTATGTATAGGTCTTTGCTCATAACACTATGATTACAATTTTTAAACTTTTGCTGTACAGTGTGATTGGATCACTAGTGACCATAACGGGTCTCTACATGTTTTTGTGGGGCAAGAACAAAGAAACGGAATCATCAACTGCATTGTCTTCTCGAATGGATAATGAAGCTCAAAATATTAATAAGGATAACGACTCTAAGTCGCCCGTTTAATTTAAATATTGTTGTTAATGTATGTTTCAAATAACTGTTATGTTCTTGTTAATGTTTGAGGTCAGGGAATGAGAGATAAAATATTCTAATTCGAAGTCTGGAACTCGAAACATTAACATAGAGATTTGTGAAATATTCATCCATTATTAATTTATCACGATATTTAGAATTTGTGATTATTTTCTTGTTTATTTTATGAAAACATCTCTGACCGTAACCTCTTAGTAATTAAAAAAAAAAAAAAATCTCTCTTTACCTGATGATGATTGATCATTTGATGGAGAAAAAAAAAAACTATGAAATAAGATTAAAACTAATTTTTGGTGGTTTAGTAGTTGGCAAATTTATTTTGGAGTTAGAGATGGCAATTTGTTTTTTTTTTCTCATTTTTGAAACTCTTTTTGGATGTTGTGATGTTCCATTTACTTAATGGGCTCCTGTAAAAGTAAATCCAAAATATAAATTGGAAAGCAAAAAAACTAACATTGAGGCCCATACAATGTCTTATTACAAGCCCAGATCCAGCTGCTGTCAAAAAAAAAAAAAAAAAAAAGCCCAGATCCAGCTAACCGACACGTAGCAGTTTAAAACCATCACAGCTGGCACCGTACCCACTTGTTAGTTGTTACCAATAACCGGGAAAACCGTTTACACGTAAGCAAATATGGACCATCACACTCACTTTTACCTACGTGAGCTTGACATCGAAGCTTCTGGCTCATAGAGAAGCAACTTGAGATATACCAAAAAGTGCAGTAGACAGCCACTACAATATCACCACGTGTCGATCTCTGATGACTTTTGTTTTTTCCATTTATACCCTTGGTGCTGTTCCAGCCTCAAATAAAAGTTACAATTAAAATATTTCCAAAAAATTGGAAAATTAGGGGAAAAATTGTTGTGGCTGAGATTGCTTCTGGCTTCTCTTCTTCTTCTTCCAGTCTTCTTCAGCCCAAAACAGTCTTCCTTCTTCCTCTTCAGTTTATCTTCTTCTTTCTCTGCTCTTCCTTTTTTTCCTCTGTTTTTGTTTATTTTTAGAGATTTTTTTTTTTGCTTCCGATTTGATTATTTCCGGGAACAATGACTTCTCCGGCTAGTTCCCAGTGAGATGATCTAGTTTGCATATTTGGTTCCTCCATGGCTACTCTCGAGGGTATAGATATTAAAATATGAGAAGTTTCCTTACATAATAAGATCTCTGTTTAGTTGCTACATATTATAAGCTCTAAAAGTTAGCATAATTGATACAAATCTAATGATTGATTACTGATATGAAGATTTGTGATGGTCTAAAGGTTTTGGCTGCGATGGATTCGTTTGGGTGAGGCTTTTGAGAATATAAAGGGAATTCTTTTGAGTTCTGCTGGAGAAGCAAACCGACTGTTTCACGGTGGACTTTGAAAAAGATTTCTCTTTTGAATTTTCTGATCTATCTTATCTAAGTGTGTGTGGATAAATATTTCTGATGAAGTACTTTCTTCTCTTTTGCAGTTGCTCTAGAATCTAAAGAGGTTATCACAACGGCTTTGCAATTTGGAAACTTTCATGTTTGGGGAGATCGAAGATGGTTTCTTTATTATATTTTACTTGTTAGAGAGGATTTGAAGCAGCGAATAGCTGCAACGGTCCTGTTATGGATACTAATATATCTGGAGAAGAATTATTAGCTAAGGTACTACTAATGACACATGATGCTTGAGATTGTTGTTGTGTGAAGATTTGCTTTATTTTTGGGTTGTTTTTAAATGTGTTTAGGCAAGAAAGCCGTATACAATAACAAAGCAGCGAGAGCGATGGACAGATGATGAGCATGAGAGGTTTCTAGAAGCCTTGAGGCTTTATGGAAGAGCTTGGCAACGAATTGAAGGTTAAATTTAAACTGTTTGACATTTTATTTTCCTTTGTTTAGGAGTGTCTTTATCTTCTCTTGATTGGAAGATTCCTCTCTTCTTCTTCTTTTTTCTCTTTTGTTTTTATTTTGTGTGCAGAACATATTGTGACAAAGACTGCTGTTCAGATCAGAAGTCATGCACAAAAGTTCTTCACAAAGGTAAGTTGATGATCCTTTCGGATCTTCTTAAAACACTTTCATTAACTTATGTGAAGGTACCATTTGTTGCTATTGACTATGTTTAGAAGTTGCCTGTCACTGTCTGAAAAACAAGATGATAGAAGGTTCTTTTTCTCTAATTGCTTTCACTAGAAATTAGGCGTCTTGCCTAGTAGAGTTGGTTGGTTCCGAGGATAGCATCAGGCTTGTAGAAATATCGTTTTTTTTTTTTTTTTTATCTTATTCATTTACTCTGTGCAACTAAACAAGATCAAGAATTGTCCAAACTTACTGTTAGAAAAAAAATCTAAAGAGAACTTTATTCTCTGAGACCATAAGATAGGTCCAAATTAACATAACTAGCATTGCATTTGCATGACACAATTGTCCCATATTCACTAAAGTCGATGAAATAATGGGATTGCATGGATTCTTTTAGCCATCCAAACCTCCTTGCCCTATAGGACAGGACATGAAGTAACTCTATCATCTCTACCCCGAAAGTTCGGGTCAGTATAAGACTTTTTTCAACCTTGGTGATGTGGTCAATTTCATGAATCTCAGGATTTCACATCTGAGCTGCATTTTTCCATCTCCAGTTTGGAAAAGCTCACAGTTTTTGGTTCACTTTCAGTTGGAGAAAGAGGCTGAAGCTAAAGGCATCCCTGTTTGCCAAGCTTTGGACATAGAAATTCCACCTCCTCGTCCTAAACGGAAACCCAATACCCCTTATCCTCGAAAACATGGGAATAACGGTACATCTTCCTCACAAGTATCATCAGCAAAAGATGCAAAACTTGCTTCGTCGGCCTCTTCTTCACAGTTTAATCAGTCGTTCTTGGATTTGGAAAAAATGCCGTTTTCTGAGGTTTATTCCTAATCTTTTCTTCTTCATTTAATCATGTTTTTGTTCTTGTGATAGACTTCTTATGTTTTATTTTCTGGTTAGAAAACATCAACTGGAAAAGAAAATCAAGATGATAATTGCTCGGATGTTTCTACTGTGAACAAGTATCCCTTACCAAAGAAAGTAAGTATAAGAAAGGTACAAGAATCAAAGAATCTAATGAATGCTGTATTTGAAGTTCAAGTGGATGACAACAAATTTGTTCCATTCTAGCTGGGAATTGCCGATATTGAAACAAGTAAGACCTCAACTGTGGACAACGCGGTTCAAGATGCTCCCAAGAAGAACAAACACAAAGATGGTAACGATGGTACTGTTTACAGCGTGCAAAACTACCTTTGGCATTCCCACGCGGGTATTGTGAACGGGAATATAGCAAAATGCCCTCAAAATCATCCCTTAGGTATGGTATCTCAAGACTTCATGTTTCATCCTATGAGAGAAGAAAGTCACGGGCACGCAAATCTTCAAGCTACAACAGCATCTGCTACAGCTTCTCATCAAGCGTTTCCAGCTTGTCATTCACAGAATGATTACCATTCGTTTCTCCAGATGTCTTCTACTTTCTCCAATCTTATTATGTCAAATCTCCTACAGAATCCTGCTGCTCATGCTGCAGCTACATTTGCTGCTTCGGTCTGGCCTTATGCGAATGTTGGAAATTCTGGAGATTCGTCAACCCCAGTGAGCTCTTCCCCTCCAAGTATAGCTGCCATTGCTGCTGCTACAGTAGCTGCTGCAACTGCTTGGTGGGCTTCTCATGGACTTCTTCCTGTATGTGCTCCAGCTCCAATTACATGTGTTCCATTACCAACTCCAGCAATGACTGAGATGGGTACCGTTGAAAATGCTCAACTACCGCTTGAGAAACAAAACACAGCTCTGCAAGATCAAAACGTGGCTTCAAAATCTCTAGCTTCATCATCCGATGATTCAGAGGAGACTGGAGTAACCAAGCTAAATGTTGACTCAAAAACCCAAGGTGATAAGGTTGGAGAGGTTGTTGCTGCTGCTGCTGTGCATGATTCAAACACTACCCAGAAGAAAAATATGGTGGATCGGTCATCGTGTGGCTCAAACACACCTTCAGGGAGTGACGCGGAAACAGATGCATTAGATAAAATGGAGAAAGATAAAGAGGATGTGAAGGAGACAGATGAAAATCAGCCAGATGTTATTGAGTTAAATAACCGTAAGATTAAAATGAGAGACAACAACAACAACAACAACAACCCAACTACTGATTCATGGAAGGAAGTCTCCGAAGAGGTAAAACAAAAACCAATGAATGATTCATGGATATTGCAGAGTTCTTCTGGGAACTAACACGATCAAAATCTTTTCAGGGTCGTATAGCATTTCAGGCTCTCTTTGCAAGAGAAAAATTGCCTCAAAGCTTTTCACTTCCTCAAGTGGCAGAGAATGTGAATGGAAAACAAAGGGACACAGCCATGCCATTGGTTCCTAATTTTAAAAGCCAAGATTCCTGTGCTGCAGACCAAGAAAGAGTAGTAATGATCGGTGTTGGACCAGGCAAGAATCTTAAAACGAGACAGACAGGGTTTAAGCCATACAAGAGATGTTCAATGGAACTGAAAGAGAGCCAAGTTGGGAACACAAACAATCAAAGCGATGAAAAAGTCTGCAAAAGGCTTCGATTGGAAGGAGAAGCTTCTACATGACAGACAGACTTTGAGGTATAAAAAAAACATCCACATTTTTATCAATATCTTTAAATCTAGTGTTAGTAGTTGCTTCTCCAATCTTTATGAAAGAGACTTTTAATCTTCCTTTTAGATCCATCCGAACATTTCTTTGGTCATGTCAGGTTCTGTACCATATTACCCCATGTCTTGTCTCTTGTCTCTCGTCTTTGTTTGTGTATGCTACTTCTGGTCTATATGTCTGCTGCTACTACTGTTAATTAACCATTTAAGCAATGGATTTGTGTCTCTACTCTTCTGTTTTTTAAAAATTGTGGATATTGATCATAAATGCTTTTGAATGATGGAGATGAATTGTACAAAAGTTTCATTTTTGAATGTTTTGTCTTTTGTTTCCCTTCCATAATGATTCTCTCTGTTGTTTGTTTTTAAACTTGAAGGCGCTCATTGCCCAAACGCCAAAGGCCTAAAGGTGCTAGGCTGGGCTTTAAAGATTTATTCACTACTCGGCCTACATTACAACATTTTCCCCATTATACAAGCTTAACTAATAGAGGCCTAAAGGCTCATATATCTTTGCTAATCTATCTTACACAAGGGTGTACAATCTCTTAATTTGTTTTACTGATGAATGAATGAATAAAGATGGAACTTTTTGTTCCCACTGAATGTGCAATTTCGTTCTAGGAAACTAAATTATTCCACTCCCTTCTAATCGCAGAACTATTTGTGAAAAATGTAATGCAAGTATCCTATAAGAATTACCGCGAAAACGGAAATTTTCTTTCGAAGTTAACTAAATTAACGATATTTTAAAAAAAAAACTATGTTTCGCGCAGAAATTAATCGAAAATATAATATTTTTAAAAGATGTAAATCTTTGTAAATTATTGAGCGGTAGTGTAGTGTTAAGTTATATGATCCGTATTTCCCGGTGGTGACTCATCACTCATATATACCTTAAAACGCTTACAATCACTAGACCAACGCGCTTCACTGGTTTCTCTCCCAAAGTTTCTTCTTCGTTTCGTTTCGATCCAAAGGTACGTTTTTTTCTTTTGTTATCGTTCTTAGATCATCAAAGTTTGATGCTTTTCCATGTGTAATCTTCTGGGTATTGCTTCAAAATCTCAATCATCCATCGAGTTTATAGAGGAAAAAGTGAACAGATTTGGTATAGATCTTTTTAGTTATCGATACGTTAATCAAGATATGAGTCATAATTTCGGAATTATCGATCTCAAATCTGCTGTAAAGATTGTGGGGTCTTGATTCGCTTTTTCCATTTAATACACTGGTCTCACTCTTGATTCAATTGATTCTCTCTCTGCCCCAATTAGGGTTAAGAGGTTAGATTTAGTCAATATCATCATCTGTTATTTTGACAGATGAGTGAAGAAACTAAAGATAACCAGAGGCTGCAGCGACCAGCTCCTCGTCTTAACGAGAGGATTCTCTCATCCTTGTCAAGAAGATCCGTTGCTGCACATCCCTGGCATGATCTTGAGATTGGTAAAATAATCCTTAAAAACATGTAATTATGATTTGATCTTTTGTATTGTGGAACTAAATCACAAGTCTTTGTAGGACCCGGAGCTCCACAAATTTTCAATGTGGTAAGTTTCTTTTACTCTTTGTGAATCGTGTACAGAGAACGTTGTTACGAATCATTTTACTAAAGTCTTGAATCATTTTACTAGATTCTTGAATCATTTTTTATCTTTGGATGATTATTAGGTTGTTGAGATCACTAAAGGTAGCAAGGTCAAATATGAACTTGACAAAAAGACAGGACTCATCAAGGTTAGGTTATTTTTTATATGAATGGTTTTTTTAATAGCAAAAATCAATATCAACAAGTTTGGATTCTCTCATTCAGGTTGATCGTATTCTGTACTCATCAGTTGTGTACCCTCACAACTACGGTTTTGTTCCTCGCACATTGTGTGAAGACAATGACCCAATTGATGTATTAGTCATCATGCAGGTATGACTCTTTCTTTCTTTCTCATATTATGCACAAAACATTGTATATTTCAATAAATAAAATTATTATCTCTGTGTAGGAACCTGTGCTTCCTGGTTGTTTTTTGCGTGCCAGAGCCATTGGATTAATGCCTATGATTGACCAGGTAAAAAAACTAGCTTGATCAATGAAAAAGGCTCTGTTTTTTTTTCACTTACTCCAATTCTTGAAGTCAGTTTAAATGATTCTTGTATTTTTGTCTCTTTAATTTTAGGGTGAAAAAGATGACAAGATCATTGCGGTCTGTGTTGATGATCCTGAATATAAGCATTACACTGACATCAAAGAACTTCCTCCTCACCGTCTCTCTGAAATCCGCCGTTTCTTTGAAGACTGTATCCTTTTTCTTCATTGCCCCTCCTTATGCGCCTCTATCGATTTCTCTAGAAGTGTTAGTTTTTCCCTTTAACCTAAAAATCTCTTACAGACAAGAAAAACGAGAACAAGGAAGTTGCAGTGAATGATTTTCTGCCATCTGAGTCTGCTGTTGAAGCTATCCAGTACTCAATGTAAGTCTATGTTTCTCCATCAAGAACTAAAATTTCTTACAGCTTTGTAACATTAAAGCAACTCTGGTTTTGATTTTTCAATTACAGGGACCTCTATGCTGAATACATTCTTCATACCCTGAGGCGTTGAAGCTTTCCTCAGAAGATTTCTGCAACATCTTTGTTTTTGTTGCTTTTCATTGATAATAAGAATCATATGATCCTAATTGATACTTTTTATCTCTGCATTTTTCTTCTAGACTTGGACCTCTTATCATTTGTCCTTGTGAACTCGTAATTTCGTTTTAAAGACTTGGCATTTGAATTTTTGGTTAGTTTTGGTTTAATCTGTTTGAAGATTTCAATACCCAATTAATTCGAATAATATATCAATTGAAGCACTACAAAAAAAAAAAAAAACCCAATTGAAACACCTTGACCACTAAGTCAAAATTCTCACTAATTATATAGTAGAAGTCAAGGTTTGTATTTTTTAGATAATTTTTTAAATATTTCGACATTCTTATAATGCAAAATTCCAAATTACTAAAAAAATAAGTTGAATATTTAAATTATTTTATATCCATAATAATAACTCTGTTGAAAAATAGAAACAAATGACCAAAATTCCACAATATAATTCCATCTCCTTGAGAGAGAAATAAAATCAAGAATAGGTTTTATTTAAAAGCTGAAGTAGAAGAACTGCAGCTGAATCCTTAGCTTTCTTAACACTCGGCATTGGCTCGCCAATACACTCATCGGTCCATCCTCTATCGCTCGTATTAACTCTAACCCCAAACGTAAACCTCTTTGCGTGAGCCGGTCCTCCTTCTTTCACACATCTACAAAATTCACCAGAAACCCGAAAAGAGCTCAATAAAACCCAAAATTATTGCAATTACAGAAATTGTTTACCAATTTTCTATTTAATTGTTGTTTACCTGTAAGAAGGCATTGGCCAATTCTTCCTCAAGCAAATATCATTCAACGTTTGTCTCGTGAACGTCTGATTTCCATTCTTCTTGTTCGCGTTCCCATTCTCATCGTCTTGATTCTCTACCGCATTCCCGTTCACGCGCTTCTCCTTTGATTCTGCTATTTCTTTCTCTTTCAAAGCTGCGAGCGCGTTCCTAGCCGCTAGCTTTTGAGCCATTTTCTTCTGCGGGTTTTGTGCCACTCCGACTTGAACACCATCGATGAAAACTTCCACAGTCGCTGTGTTACCACTTCTACTCGCTTTGTATTCTAACCCTTCTGCTTGTTGCTGGCACCGCTCTTGTAGCTCTCGAACCGGATGCATTGGAAGTGTCTCTGGTGTCACCATGGGCTGAAGCAAAGGTTGAAAAACCTGGAAAAGAAAAATATGATTGAGTAAAGCGAAGAATTACAATTCAGAAAAAAAAAAAAAACAGAATTAGTAGAGATTTTTAACCGAAATAACTAACCTTCCAAGCAGCAGTTGTATCTTTTCCACTATCAAGAAAAATAGCACCTGCAATAGATTCAACAATATCTCCAAGAACTTTTGGTGCTTTACAGTCTCCCAAACCAAAAGAGTTGAACCCCGGTTTCGATGACTCGGTTTGAACTTCCTTCACAAATTCCCGAATCTGAAAAACAAAAAATAACCAAACAATCAAACATTTGCAACTCTTTGTGAACAAAATAGTTTGTTTCTTAATCTTGTTTACCTGTTTCTCGAGGGCACTAGAACCGTGACGAAGGTATAAGTGGAGTTTATGTTTAACTGCAACGCGAGCAAAATTCTCGTTGTTAACCGCTGCAGCTCGAAGATCAGTTAACCGACCAGGAGGAAGGCTTGTGTATGTGAAAAACAGGTGTCTTGTGATAAGATGATCCAAGACCGCATCACCAACAAATTCCAATCTTTGGTAACACGAAACACCTGAAGATGGTCTTGAAGCATGTGTTATAGCTTCAACAAGAAGACCTTTCTCTTTAAACTCAAATTTAAGAGCTCTCTCAAGACCAACAAAGTCAATACTCTTTAGCACACTCTCTGGAACATTTACATTTTTCACCGTTCCTTCGACTTCATCAGGATCATCTTCCACATGAATCCCAATCCATTTCATCAAATGATTTGCTGCAACCTTACCCCCTTCGACGTAATAAACACCAATCAAAGCTTCAACAACATCAGCTAACGTTTTGCTAGATAAAACTCGGTAAGAACTCAAATCGCCCTCTAGTTCACCATCTTCCATCTCCCCATCTTCAAACACATCGCTGTTTTCCTCGGAAACAGGTTTTTGCTCTTCATCGAAAAACGAAGATCCTCCATCTTTTGTGTCCTCGTCGAAAACCGGAGGCACACCAGGAGCAGACCACCTAGACGGGGCGAAACGATCCGCCTGGATATATGACTGAAGCCCTTTAACCAGAGCAAACTGATAAAGAACCATGTTACTAACCATTTGTTGCCTCATCCTTGTAAGCTGACCCTCGTGCTTTTGCGGATACTTCAGAAACAGATAACGACTAACGACCCATTTTAGATAAGCATCTCCTAAAAGCTCAGCTCTCTCGTAGCAGAACGTTTCCTGGCACGAGGCGGCAGTCAAGGCTTCAAGAATCTACAAATATATACCAAATAAGATTAGATTAGTTTCAACAAAACAGAACAAAAAAAAAAGACACTAACTAAGCATAATATATACCTTAGATGTAGGAATAGGATAACTAATCAAATTTTTGAGTTGAACAGCGAGCAACATGCTCTCAACTCTTCTCATTATAGAGGGTAACCTCTGAGCACCTCGGACAAGTGAACCCGAAAGTGGATGGACAACGCATAGTTCAGGTGGAAGAAACACGTAATATGTTTTATCAAGGATTGTCTCAGATTCACCTTAAATTGCAGTAAAAAACAAACAAGTGTAAGTTTATTGGTTAATCATTAAATTGTTGAAGGCAAAAGAGTTTGTTATTACCTGACTGTTCAAACCTAGGAGAAAGAAGGTTCTTGCAATACGAAACACCCCGTCCTTTGATCAAAGGTTGTTGCTTACAGTTCAAATCAACTCCATACCTAATAAATAACATTATAGATGAAGACTTGTATAGCCCCAATTACCTCAGGTTGTGCAAGAAGAAGAAGAAAAGCCGGTCTTGTACATATATCCTAGTCATAGAAGTAGATATCTCACAATACATAGACAGGCTTTGCTTCTCATTCTTGCACAACACCGGAGGTGGATTGAGGCCATGGAAGTCCTCGTGGTAGCAATAAAGTATTAGTAGAGTGCTTGCTTCTCTAATGAAAAGATTTGAAGTTAAAAATTACTTGAAATATTTTTCTTACTTTTGCTTGTAATAGTCAGCATACGTGTTGTACTCTAGGGGACCAAGATATCCCTCTTTCCTTGGGAATGATGTTTCTGCACTCATATCATAACAAATTGAATCTACGTAAAACCGCTTCCCGGAATGTGCGGCTGTCACTATTTTCCCAACAAGATCTTCTGCAACCATGCACCCATCAGCCATCATCAATTTTCCTTTTGATAGATCCTCTTCTACTTCCTTCTCAAACGCATCTCTTACGGGTAACAATCCAGAAGCTCTCACAACATCGAAAGATGCAACAGCTCCTCTAATACCATAAGTTGGGTGAGATTTCTGCCCAAAGACAATGTTGTGACGAAGTTTACCAAACCCATATTCCCTTCTGTCCCCACCAAGAGTTCTCTCATTAGTCCCGAGATATACATCGGGACGAGCTCTCTGAAGAGGGTTGTCCCACGCAGTGGTTTTCGTAATCTTTTCAACCAATTCCCAGTTGATCCCTTTTATGGGTTCAATTGACGTATTGTCAGAAACAGGGACAAACAAGTAGGCCTTTGCAGGATCCCATGGTGTCGTAGAGGGTTCAACATCAACATCCAACACGATACTCATTAATCTCACATGAAACTTTTTTAGAGATGATAGCTGCACAAGAAATGCCACCAATATAAAGATAAAAAAAAGTTTCTCAAGCAAACAAAAATGTGAGGGAAAATAGAGGTTGTTGTTCAGTCTAACCTGGTTTTCTGTAATATCAAGTGATCCCTTGAAAGCAAGAGATGCTTTAGTGATCATGGCCCGAGCAACATAAAGATCCATAGACATCGATAATACCTGATATAGTAAACAAATCTTTAGATAACCATTGTTACATCTTCAAATTCTAATACTCAAATCCATGGAGAGAGAATCAAACTACCTCTGCATCCAGCTCATTGCCAAAAAGAATCGCGAACTCTGAAACTTCGGTTAGGAATGGATCTTTTGAAGAGCCTAAATCTACACATCTGACACTATACATGTATAAATGGAATAGCTTTGAGCTCTCACATATTTCCTTTCCAGATAGAATCCATTCTCCCTGTGCATTAGTAGAAAAATAGTCAAGTTTTAAAACCACATTCCCCTAAAAAAACATTTAGTAAAATTTTCTTAGGTAAATTTTACCTTCAGTACATCCGCCACACCTTCAGGATAGAACTCTCTATGTCTAGCAGTTCCAGGAACAGGCTCACCTTCATCATCTTGGTCAACCTTCTCAGCGTCTTGACCACTTCCCTTGTCCGGTAATAGCATATCGGTAAATGCACCCATCTCATGCAGTTTCTTGCAAGCAGCTAGACATACAGCCTACATATCAAACACACAATAATTCAAGACATGGAACACCGAAAGATAATAATGAATAAGATAAACGAACGTAAACTATTATGTCCACCTGTTGTGCAAGACGCATTGAACTGCAAACAGGACCCTCGAGTATTTCAAATGGTGCATTGCAAGGAAGCTGAAGCCTACATGAATACTCTGTGTGGCCCCCAGGCTTTTCATGCTTCTCCATGCTAAACTCAGGACGAAGGATTGCATACCTGAGACACAAGAGAGAAGCAATCCATTATCTCATATAGGAAGAAGAACGGTCATTAGGAAAATAAAAGTTATCGGCAAAGTTACCTGTCACCAGGAAGCTGAGAGCAGTAGAAATGTACAAGACCAACCGCGGAATTCAAGCTAACCATGGCACCAGTTGCCTCCACCTTATAAATTGTACCTGGCACAGTATCAATGGAGATTAATCTCGATGTATCTTTGAGATGACTAAGATCAGTCCTTTCAATTGCTTCTTTTCGAAGCGTCTCCTCACTGTTCCGAGCATTCCTAAGGAACGCTGCGTGAGATACATTTCCCCTGCAAGCAACACAAGGTGACATGTAACAACACTGATTTGGTGAACAGTAGTTACAAAAATCAAATGTAGTTCTTAAAGATTTTTATGAACCTCTCAACCATGAGTATGTAGTCTGATCCAGGCTTTCTTGCCCGACCACGAGACTGAATATATGCCAGCACCGTCTTTGCAAGGTCGAAGCGCATAACAACGTTACATTGCCTAATATCAAGTCCTTCCTCAGCAACGCTTGTGGCAACAAGCAGTGTCACCTATCACAGTAGAAAGAGGAGAGAGTGAGACATATGTCAATATACGATTAAAAAAATATGTCAAAAGGCAAAATATTCATACATGCCCATCTCGGAATTTGGAAATTGTATCTTGCATTTGAGAAGATTTCATTTCCTGGCTGTTATTGTGTCCAATCATGCTGGCACACCGTATAAAACCAAGCGAAGGCAGCTCGGCAAAAACCTGAAAATTTCCAAGCTCAGAGATATAGACAGGAAAAATATACTTAGGACAAAATAAATTGTTTCTTTCTTCCACTTTAATCCTAACCTTAGGAAGAACCAAAGCAGCAACCACCCTCTCAACAAAAACAATAGCTCGAAAATCAGATGTGTGCTGATACTTGAGGAGTAGTTTGATCAATGATTGAACTTTTGGAGTAACTTTCCCATCAGCCACTGCGGCACCTATTACTTCATCAACGTGTTCCCCTCCCGAGACCACTAAAACCATAAAGCATTGTTAATATCGGGTTTCTCATACCGGTAAACAGCAAATAGACAGACACAAAGAATGTGGTGGTAATACTTACCATGATCATCAGGGAGCTCTCCCTCCTCCATCTCGTCATTTGCATTACCATTTTCTGTTTTGCTAACTTCCGCTGCGACCTTTTCAGCAGCAGCGCCTTCCAGAAGCTCACATTGCAATAGTGACACCACCTCACTGAGGTATGATTCTTGAAACTTCACGTCGACTTGGAAATTCACCCTCTCATCACTTTGCAAAGCAGTCAAAAACGATTGCCCCACCTTGAAAGAAAACACAAAAATCATATCATATGAAAATATCATATCCATTTCAAATCATCAAAAACAATTTTTTCCGGTTTTTTTTTACCTTGTAAGCACACCATTGACCCAATTCAGCAAGAGTATAATTAATAGCTCTAAGTTTATGAATCAAATTGGCGGCTCCATCGCTCTCCGTTCTTTCAGAGACGCCATAAACCTGTCTCAGTTCATCCTTTGCTCCAGCATCCCTAGCCCCCATAAATTGCCACTTGCTTTTCCTTGAACTTGCTTGTGCCGCTTCTTCAACAGCTACAATCATTTGCTTTATTGTCTCATGAAGAGACCACATAGTAGCAGCTTTGTCATACTCGACGACTATCTCTGAAGGCATAGGCACATGTTTCTCTAATTCTTTTCGATCTTTTATTGTACAAACCGTAGAATCCAACTTGGTCTCAAGGTTGCGTATTTTTATCGCACAATCTACTTGGCTTGAAACACCTATGTAAACACACACAAAATGTCACTTTCAAGAAAATTGGCAAGCAAGATCCGTTTAGAAAATCTGTACAAGAAACAATCAGTACCCTTTAGATTAACGGGCGAAGCAGTCATTCCAAAGATGGCAGGTCTTTTATCTTTAGGAGTTGTATGGTAAAACTCTGACATCACTAAAGAGTATGGATGTTTCTTGACAGCGTGGTGACATTCATCGAGAATAAGAAGATCAATTGTTTCCATTCTAATGATACTGTGTCTCAGTATATTCAACAGAATTTGTGCTGTCATTACTAGAACCTGCATAGAAGAAGATAGGAAAAAAAAAACGTAAACTTGAAGAACTGATTCATATAAAAGATCAAAGCTGGTCTAAAAAAGAAGCATCAAAAAGCAACCTGCTTAGACTCAAACTCTCGTTGCCACCTTCGAGCATCCCAAAAGTCCTGTCCCATCTCACCACAGTAATGCCCAACTTGAAAACAAGTTTGATTACGGATCACTTCTGCTTGCTGATAACATTAGATTAATCAACAAACCAAACCCAAACGTGAACCAATTTAAAGAAAAAGTATACAAACATGTATTTTATTAGGAGGTACCTGATAAACCAAAGGCACTTTAGGAACCAAGAACACCGAGAGCAGTTTTCTGTTCTTGCTCATCAAATCCTTATGAACACTTTTAATAAGAAGAATCGCGATAAGTGTCTTTCCAGCACCGGTCTCAAGAAAAGCAATCGTGTTTTTCGCTTTAGCTTGTTCAAGCACATCCAATTGGTATCTCCTAGCTTGCTCTTCCACAACCTTCTCTTTACGTTCTTCAGGCTTACTCTTATTCTCCTCAACCTTCACATCACATTCACGGTTTCGACCACTCTCTTTCTTAACACCTCTTTCGTGATCAGCTTCCCAAGTCCCTGACCGAAAAACCAACTCATTGGAACCAACTTTATCCCTCTCCCAATAACCCCTACCTTCTCTATCTCTACCATCTCTTCTGTAATTGTAACATTCCCTTTTCTTATTGTTACCCGCCTCGTCCCAATTACGAGTACGTTTCCTATTCATAAACCTATCTCTCTCCCTAGAATTAACCTGTCCTCTACCTGAAAGGTTACTCCTTTCACTCTGATAACTACAAACCCTAGCTCTCTTCCTATCCTTCCCTCCTTCCTCTTTCGACAATTCGTCTCTCGTACCGCCATTCTTTTGCAACCCATTCTCCTTCACCGAGACTGTAACCTCCTTAGCAATAACCTGAGGAGTTACACTAACCTCGTTGGTATCAGAAACGCCATTGTTTGGTAAACCTCCACCGTTCTTAATACTATCTAAAATGTGATCAATCCCACCGAAAAAATCATTGATGACGCCGTTATCATCAGTGGATTCATTGACAGCAACAGAGGAAGGATCAAATTCAGACACGAGATCATCAATAAGATCACAAGAGATGTCCTCGCAAGCATCTAGCCAATAAGAAGGCTTTATTATGTCTTCCCTAGGCTCCATTACCATAATAATTCTATAATAATCAAATCAAGACCATTTAAAAAGAAAAGCTCACTCAAGAAAACCAAATCTCCAGAGAAGAAACAGAACCAAAACACGAGAACTGAAGAAACCCAGAAAAAGGGGTGAGAGAAGAGGAGTGTTTTGTGACAGATTAGGGTTAGATAGACCGTACGAAACACGCCAATTTTAAGTTATTGTTTGCAGTTGCAGGTAAAAGGGGACACGAAGAAGAGCAAGCAAAACCCTAGAGACTACCACCAAAGATTGACTTCTTTCGTAAATAAATAAGAATTGAAAACCCTTTTGAAGCTTTTGCAAAGTGTGTGTGATTCCAAGGTCTATCGATCCCTACTCTGTTCTGTTTTCTCTCTTCCTCTTCCTCTCTCTCTCTCTCTTCTGGTCTGTTTTCCACTTGCTCGCTTCTCTTTTGTAATATTCTTTCTCTTTTTTTTTTTTTTTTGCAATACTATTACATTAGGTTATAAGTAAAAATGAAAAATGAAAAATAAAAATAAAAATAAAAATAAAAAGATCAGCCCTAAATATATTTTGAGATCACTTTAGAACATTTAACTATTTAATTATTCAAACGGATTGATTTTGTAACTGTTGAGTGTTGTCAAATAAATAAATTTAAAGCTAGTTAATAAATGTGTTTATTTATTTATACTAGCGGTTTCTCCGACCGTAGTTAAGATTGATTCGAACGGGACGGTCAAGATTATTCCACGCTTTTTACTGTTTCCAGTAAAGTCAATATTCGACTTACCAATGAGATACGGACAAGTGGAAAAGTGTTTGTGATTAGTCTCCTCTAATGCTTTTGTTCTGTCATTCTGTGGACTGTGGAGTGTGGACAACGTCTTTCCCATCATTAAACAAAAAAATTATTCTAACTTCTTCTAAAAACTACTGTATTATGCCTTGTTTGAAAAATCGCCAGGCGCTAGTCGGGCGCTCGGCATGGGCCTAGCGATTAATCGGAAAATCGGATTAAAATTGGGGATTAATCGGGGATTAGTTTTAGGGTTATTTTAATATTTTTAACACATATTAATCCAATATTATTTTTAAAATTGCAGTAAACACATAAAAATGTATTTTTGAGACAAATATTTATGATTTTTATTAAAATATGAACATAAATTATTGTAAAACATTACAAACTCCCAATTCAAATGATTGAATAACAAAAATAAAAAGTTTTTTTATACTAACAATCTAAAAATAATCGGGGTATGTAAGATTAGGCGGGGAATAATCGGATTAGGCGGGGAATAATCGGATTAGGCGGAGAGTAATCGGGTGACTGATTTCTTTAAGGGATTAGTCATTAATCGAGACGGATAGGGTGGGCCTAGCGATTAAGCGGGGAGTAATCGGGTCTAGGCGGGGATTTTTAGAACAAGGGTATTATGTAGTATATTAGTAATTTTATGATTTGAATTTTTCGTCGGAATAATGGCTTTTTAAGCGGTAAATAAGTATCAACCGGTTTGCACTTTGCAGAACCTTCTTTTAAAAATGTTATAGTAACGCTACTTTGAAACTAGCATTGCTTAAAAGTTTAAAAGCTGCAGAATTGATGTCCATTTGGCGTTAAAGTCAAATACCAAAGTCACCAACGTCCATCAATCTATTTATATGTGAACGGTACACTATATGATAAAGTAAAACTCTTCATTTACATTGGTAATGCGTCCACCATTGAAAAGTTGATGAGAACTAGATACGTCTCCAAATCCTTATGGTGGTAAATCAATACGTTTTTGTTCTACATCATTTCCACTCAAATAACACCTTTAGCAAATGCCATCGACTTTTGGCTAACGCCGAAAAAAATAGATTCTTCTTTGTAAGCATCCAACACGCATAGGTTATTTTATATTTTTGAAAATCAACAAAAAGGTTTTAAATCAGTATGAGATTACTTATGTTTTACATATACTTTCATCTTTTTCCACTACATAATAAGTTAGTTGAGCCGATGGAATCACCAATATTACTACTAGAAAGAACGTAACTAAAGTCTGAAATGTCGAATTTGTCTACAATAATTGAATTCGAACGCAATTCGATCTTGGTTCTGTTTCTCGTTTTAGTAAACTAACCAAAAACCAAATAATTCAAATAAAAAACGCGAAGCATTGAGCAGATGCGAAAATATATAAAAATCAAATAGCGGGGCCGAAAAATGAAGAATCTAAGATATTATTTTGTTCTTCTTCCAGATGATTGCAAAAATATGCACGGAAAGCGATCTAAAGTCGATCGAATAATATTTATTAATCATATTCGTAACTTTAAGACAAATGCATCTTCATACACTGACTAGCTTACAATTCACGTTTATGGTATTTGATTTCTTATTGGGGACATGGACCTAATGCAGTATGATTGAATCTTAAGATTCTCAAAGGTGCATTTTGGAAGAAATTATTCAACCTTTTTCGTCCATAATTGAGGGACCAATTCATTGTTTCCTGTTTTTTATGACTCTTGTTGATTTTATTCTCGACGCACATATCTCATGAAGCAAAAATGGGGTACGGCCCATTAATATCATAAGCAAAGCCCAATATTGCCGTAGTAGCGACATTGACAATGGGCCTGACGCCAACAAAATACGATTTGAGCCACCCAATCAAATCTCTGTAAGCCCAATAAAAAAAAAAAAAATTGCAATAAATTAGAAGTATATTTAAATTTTCGAAACAAACTTTTCGGTATAAGTCTCCTTTTTTTTTTTTTTTTGGTAAATTAAATAACGCCGTACTTCTTTGTATACGTGAACCCACAAAAATTGACCTTTTTTGGACGGTTCAGGGAGAGATCCAACGTAACGAGACTCTCACACAGTCACAGGGTTCACGTTTTGCAGTGACCGACTTAAAATGACAAGAGCGCCGTCGCTTTAGCAGAACCCCACCCACCCGCTTAAACTGAAAATCCAAATCCAAAAGATCCGAATTAGATTTTGCAGAATCAGAGAATACGAGAAATATAGTAGCCAGGTGGTCGGTTCGGCCGCCGCCCCATCATAAACCGGGCCCGGTCTAGTTAACATCAAAACCAATCCATTTCCGGGTAAGAGACTACGGCGCGTGTATGTCAAGCACCTTTCACCCTTTTTCATTAAATGCCAAATTCCAATTTATTATTATTAATGACGATTTCATCTTGTTTTATTTATCTTACATTATTTTCTTTTATTTGTCTTCTTCCCTTCATGCAATAAAAAAAATGTATAAACCTAGAAATTATTATTGTATTATATAATTCATACCGACCATAAAAATTCAAATGAACCTTTAGTAACAAATTTTATTTAGGGGAGAGAGACAAGGACAGAACAAAAGCCTGCGAAGCCTCCAACGGTATTCATTGTGGACCAACCTTAAGTGTGGGACGACTCTATCCATCTACATTCATTTTCTTATTTAGATGATTTTGTCTATAGCTCAATTTAGCACGTCATATTTCTATTTTCTTTAAAAAATGGATTTACTTTTTTCCGATACATAAATTAATCAATCTCAAGAAAATATTTTTCTGGAGTTCGTCATTTACCTTACCATGATGTGTTTGAAAAATAATCGAGCAAAGGAGAGCATGGTGATTAGGGTTTATGTGTACATACCCCACCAATACTTGTCTCGTTTCGTTTATTCCTCTTTGAAACGGTTCTTTGATAATTCATATTCATGGACCGTATCCGCATCGGTCCATTCATTCTTGATTTATAGCGTGACTTATCACAATAAATCGAATGGAACTATATATTTACTAGACTATTAAAAAAAGTTACCTATGAAAAAAACAACATTTATCGAAATCAAAAACCAACTTTGATTGGAGCCTTTTTTTTTGCCCTTTTTTCCTTTCATCACTACCAATCTCTTGAATTCGTTGCACATAGTACGTGGCTATATGATGAAAGAAAATATAAACTTGTCTCTTCTACTCGAAAATTTCGGCCTCTCGATCTATATAATGTTTTTTTAATTAATGAAAATAACTTTATTGATAGATTGTTTTTGACCCACTTCTTTCAAGCTACATGTTCGTTTTGAGGTGATTAGATTATGTATATACACTAATTTAATTAAGACTCCTAGCCTTTGGGGTACACATGACAGTTGTTGCCATCATCAACATCACATAAACCTGCTCCACGCAAATGGACTCTATTTGCACCTACTGATAACGACCCTTCTCTCTATACATACATAACATTAATACAGTATACATGCAAATCCACACGCACACATTTATTTGATGGTTATGCATAATTTTTGGTATGATGAAACAAATGTAATGTTTTTGAGGATTTTGATATTTATCCTTAAATACCAGAGAGTGTGTATACGACTAAAACTTTTGTATCACTTCACACACCAAATTTATATTTAGTCAAAAATAGCGACTATTGACAAAGACAATAATCAATAGTTCACTGAATATAAGACCTTATAATAACTGTGTATTCCTTTGATTTCATTTATTTTTAGATTTTAATAAATTTTGTTTTGATATTATAAGTTTAGTTTAAGGCTTTCAAAGTTTTCGTATTTGGATATCCATACTCCATAACAATAAATTTATTTGTTAAAAATACTACAATTTTTGACATTTTTTTATACCAAAATATTATATTTAGTGAGTATTTCTAAAAAATTTAGTATACTTCTACTAAAAAATTTTGAAGCCTTGCTAAACTTATGATTTAAGGTATTTAGGAGTTTTTGGATTGATGATTTGTCTGGAAACCAAAACATAAAATATGGCACTATTAAGAAGCCCAACTTGATATTTATTCAATTGTATACATTTTATAAATTATTTTTAAATTTATTAGAATAAATCAACGATCATAAAATTTATTCGTAGTTACAATTTATTCGTATATAAACTTTTCTATACAACGTACTACTGACAATAAAGCCCAATTACATCACATATATATATACCTTAGTTTTCCAATAGAGCAGCTTTTAAAAATGACCAAATTCTTAGCATTTCTCTATGGCTATAGGACAGTAGTACGTTGTATAGAAAAGTTTAAATTGAAAAAAAAAAATCCCAAGGGCCCGAGCTCCTCAAGTTGATAAAGAAAAACTCACACAAATATGAATATCAATAAAGAAAATAGGTGTGAAAGAGATCGAGAAGTGTGGGGATGCAAAAATGTGAGGCTGTTTTGGACAAATTCTAGAGAGAGAGAGTAGTGAGAAGTGGTCCTTACTCTATTCCATGTTTACTGTTGTGAAATTGTAACACTTCACCTTCTCACTCACCTTCTCATTTATGTTTGCTTCCCCTTAAAATCCAACCCCTACTTTAACCATTTTATTCAAATCTTACATATATACTAATTAACCATATGTACCTCGTATTTATACCATATGGTACATATCTAATATACTTACAATACATTCATGGCAAAAGTATTTGAGAGATGATCTCCGATACCATTTGAGATTCCATACACTCTTAGATTTGTAGTATCTAGGGTTTTAGGGATCATATATCGGATCCAGGTAAGTAATGAAAGAAAGTCGAAACTATATTTGTTTATGAATTTCACTATTTGTTTTATGTCCTATCATATTGATACAATTATATATTTTAATTTTCTATTATAGTGAATACATATTCAAAAAGTAAAATACAATTCTAAAGTATAACTACGAAAACCAAAATTAAATATATAAGCTAGAGATATATATATATAGAGTCGGTCAATTAGATTAGAATGGGATATATTCCTTAAGCATAATCTATATATAAGGGGATTTGTTAAAAAAAAAAACTATATATAAGGGGATTTGTTTTTTGATAGATTTGGGCTTTTAACATGGGCTTCCAACTCAAAACCAATTGGCAATGAGTGGATTGACCCTAACCCTTTATATATCACTTGATAATTTTTCCAACTTTCGATGTGGGACTTTCTCTCATTAACACCCCCCTCACGCTCAGGCATCGTTGGCTCTGAAGCGTGGGCATATGTGGGAACAACATCCACGGGGTGGCCCGATTTGGGACTTCAATAACATTTTTCAATGAAATAGTGGCAAGTAAGAGATTATAGGTAGAGAGGTCCCCTTTGTATTCAAGCGGTTGCAACTCGGTAAATAGTAAAAATTAACAAATTGTTTTTTCTTTTAGCTAGTTTTGCCTTTAAATTAAAGAGCGAGGGCAGCTTGCTGGCCAACCTTTTTCAAGCCATACTTTATAATTATACAAAATATATTAACAGACCCATATATAATTTCGATAACAGAAAATTTATTTGGAATTTAAAGATATATTATTGCTTAAACTCAAATCCAAAACGAACCTAAAATCACACTGAACCGATTCGTAGTAGATTCAGTTTTACATTGGTTAATGGCTCTTTTTTTTTTAACTGAAAAACTTGGACCAGTAGCCGGATGTTAAACACATAGTTCAAGTATAATTAACACACTTGCGTGAATAATAAGTCTTACTCGAAATGCTATGTTGAGAATATAATGGAATCGGTCTATCCATGAATAGACTCTGAAAATCGGATAATAAATACTTTATATTTTATTGCTAAATTAGTGAAAATAGTTTATAATAATCGACGATTTGTCAAATACAAGTTCCGTCGTGTTTCAAAACGAATTTAAAGTATCACCTACTTCTTATATATTCCGCTACACGTGCTTATTAAATGATTTATATATTTTGACTAATGTAGTGATGACATGTATAATAAGTATACTTCCAAAATATTAATAAATAATTACGCTGTTTAATTACTGGAAATATTTGACCAGGTGTTGCAGATCTAGACATTTTCTTGCTGTCTCAAAACATCAAACGCTCTTGTTATGGAATATGGATGTTGATGATTATGACAAATAGGAATAAAATAATAAAATATTATGGTCATTATTATAATTCTTGTTATATAATTTTTTTTTTTGGATAATTTTCGTGACTTAGTTTTTCTACAGATCGGTTATTATGATTTATTTTTTCTGCAATGTTGACGTACGCCTGAAACGAACATTGTAAGACATGGTGATCTTAATATATTTTACATAGATATGCATTAAACATAAACATAATTTACCAAGAAACCAAAAAAAGAAGTTAAACATGCACACATTTACATAAAGATATATTTGTATTTGCTTATTTCAATTTGTTTTGTTGTGATTGATGTATGTGAAGAAGATTTTGGACCACCAAAAACTTTGGCACATCAGCAACCAAACCTACTTTCCCCCTTGTGATCTGTAAATAATTGCATAATTAATTATAATATGCGAAATTAGTTATGTGTTTTTTTTTTTTCTTACATAGAGATTAGCAAATTTCATTATGTAATCCTTCTTATAACAGTATTATACTGTAAACCCACGTGACTCGCTCTGACAAGAAATTACTAAACAAAATTTGAGCAAAAAGACATGGAGTATTAATTATCGTATTACTGCTATTGATAAAAAAAGACTTTTTTTTTCTTTCTGTTTCGCATTGGCACGCATGATTAAGGGTGTGGCGGTTAGCATTTTATAAAAGAAAAATAAAAAGAAGAATTACAACTCTTCTATTTTCTTCTAAAAGTTAACCAGTTAAATAAAACTTAGAAGAATTGTTTTCTTCCCAATTTATCCTAAAAGTAACATAAAAAAGGTTAAAACTTCCTACTACAATTATATGATAGAAATAATTCTTTTCTTCTCTTTTATTTTAGTTTTTTTCCATATCTTTTCTTCTAATTTTAACCAGTCACACCCTAAGTAAATCGATATACTTAGTCAGATAAAAAAATTACGGTGAATCTTGTTTTCACATAATTTATCTATAATTTGTTCAGATATCAATGGTTTAAGTACAATATACACCGTTTGAACGACTTTTAACCTAATCAGATTATCAACCTTTTGATGGATTGATGTGATCTATATAATCAATAGATATGCCATAAGTCAATGAACAGATAAACGCAATAAGTAAAAATTTAGGTAACAAATAGAAACAACCCATTCGAACAAAAACATAATAAACACAAAAAACTTTTGTGGTATACGTACATAAGTTTGATTGATAATTTTATTGACCTTCTCGGAATAACGAATCAAATGTTGGACGAGGATAAGATCCACAAACTTAGAATGAGTCGAAAGATATCGGCTATAGTCAGAGACGGTCCAGAACGTTACATCATATGTGTGTACAGTGCCGGCCCGAATATATGGACTGCCTAAAGCAAGCCATATAATTGATGCCCCAATGAAAAGAAAAAAAAATCATTTTAAAAGAATGCATAATGTGGGTTTTGAACCCCTGACTTGTTAGTAGAAAGAGACCAAGCTTAACCACTAGATCTATTGAACAATTTTGTAAATTATGCCCCTAAATTTCTTTATAACATCTGATGCCCTGAAGTCCTAGCTTCATGAGCTTCTGCCACGGGCCTGTGTGTATATGTAAATGCATACAAATTTTTAAGTAATCATGGCATGCCAACAACTGGAATAGTAGTTGGTAAGAATTATATTTAATTTAATGTGATAAAATGCGTGCATGCATATATTTATATTGCTTTTGTCTAAAGAATATTCCATACATGGAAAAAATGTGCATTTCTTTTCTGGTAAATCCATATAGGTTAGTATAAAATATAAATACATATATATATATATATATATATATATATACCATAGTCACTTACTAACTAACGAAAACTATATATAATTAATTAATTATAAATTCGTTCAAATTGTTTTAATTAGTGCTATAACCAACAATGATTAGTAGAAAGCAAAATTAGATGAATAGACAAAAAAAATTGTTTTAGTTAATAAAAAGGAAACACACACGTATGAAGTATACAGTACACTCATTAAAAAAAAGATTAACGGAATCTCAAACACCGTCGACAACTAGACATATATATACACATGTATATAAAGATTTTGAAATTTCAATACAAAGAGCTAATTCGAAGCCTAATGAAAAGGACAAGAAGCTCACATGACCCGAACCATATCATTCATGGGCCCCTACGCATTACTCGGTACCAATCTCGCTCTCTCTCTCTCTCTCTCTCTAAGTCTTGAAACACTATCAAGAATCTCAAGCCACCATTTTTTCTTCATCCTCATAAAGAGAAAGAGAGAGATCCTCTTGTTTGGCAAGAACCCAATTTGAGTTCCAAGTCCTGATTTGCTCTGATCTTTCTCTTTCCTTGATTTCATTCTATAGTCAACGAGAAGATAATTATATATATATATATATATGTGTATAGTTTTCTTCCGATTCTAGGGTTTTCATATTTCATCTAAATTTTCATGGTCAAAGAAGAAATTCAAAGAACCAATCGAACCAGGAAGAGAAAGAAAACATCAATATCAACATCTCTCTCTCTCTCTCGTATATTATAAGGTGAGACCACACCAGAACTTTAATTTATTTTTTTCCTTCTTCCCTTCTTTTAATATATTCTTTGAATTATTTTCATTAATTCATCTACCCCTTTTTATAATTGTGGCTAGATTTTCGTTTCGTTTCCTCTTTTTAATATTATCTATCTAATATGTATGTCGAAGATCTCGAGTTGAGTCATCATCGTTAATGGCTTTGAAAAACGACGGCAACAATTCACCAAGTCAAGAACAAGAGGAAGGTTTAAACTTTAGCAAGATTCACTGAGACTCATCTCAAGAAAAGGAGAAAGATTTAATCCAAGAACAGGATATAGAGTAACCTTGATCAAGAACCACTAAGACCCATCTCATACATCCATCAAGAAAAGAGGAGCAAGGTTTTGTCAAGAAACAACAAAAAAAAAAAAAAGAGTTTCAATCTTGATTCAAGAACCATCGCATAAATCAAGATTTAACCAAGGCAAATCATATAATTCATCATGGATCTATCCTTAGCTCCAACAAGCTCCGACCAAGAACAAGACAGAGACCAAGAATTAACCTCCAACATCCGAGCAAGCAGCAGCTCTGGCCCCAGCGGAAACAACAACAACCTTCCGATGATGATGATTCCACCTCCGGAGAAAGAACACATGTTCGACAAAGTGGTAACACCAAGCGACGTCGGAAAACTCAACAGACTTGTGATCCCTAAACAACACGCTGAGAGGTATTTCCCACTAGACTCCTCAAACAACCAAAACGGCACGCTGTTGAACTTCCAAGACAGAAACGGCAAGATGTGGAGATTCCGTTACTCGTATTGGAACTCTAGCCAGAGCTACGTGATGACCAAAGGATGGAGCCGTTTCGTCAAAGAGAAAAAGCTCGACGCAGGAGACATTGTCTCTTTCCAACGAGGCATCGGAGATGAGTCCGAAAGATCCAAACTTTACATAGATTGGAGGCACAGACCCGACATGAGCCTCGTTCAGGCACATCAGTTTGGTAATTTCGGTTTCAATTTCAATTTCCCGACCACTTCTCAATATTCCAACAGATTTCATCCATTGCCGGAATACAAATCCGTCCCGATTCACCGGAGCTTGAACATCGGAAACCACCAACGTTCGTATTATAACAACCAGCGTCAAGAGTTCGTAGGGTATAATTATGGGAATTTAGCTGGACGGTGTTACTACACGGGATCACCGTTGGATCAGAGGAACATTGTTGGATCAGAGCCGTTGGTTATAGACTCAGTCCCTGTGGTTCCCGGGAGATTAACCCCGGTGATATTACCGCCGCTTCCTCCGCCTCCTTCAACGGCGGGAAAGAGACTCAGGCTCTTTGGGGTGAATATGGAATGTGGTATTGACTATAATCCCTGTTCTAAAAATCCCCGCCTAGCCCCGATTACTCCCCGCTTAATCGCTAGGCCCACCCTATCCGCCTCGATTAATGACTAATCCCCTAAAAAATCAGTAACCCGATTATTCTCCGCCTAATCCGATTACTTTCCGCCTAATCTTATATACCCCGATTATTTTTTAGATTGCAAGTATAAAAAAACTTTTTATTTTTGTTATTCAATCATTTGAATGGAGAGTTTGTGATGTTTTACAATAACTTGTGTTCAAATTTTAATAAAAATCATAAATTTGTAATAAAAATCATAAATTTTTACAATATTGGATTAATATATTTTAAAAATATTAAAATAACCCTAAAACTAATCCCCGATTAATCCCCGATTTTAATCCGATTTTCCGATTAATCGCTAGGCCCATGCCGAGCGCCCGACTAGCGCCTAGCGATTTTTAAAACAAGGACTATAATCAACAAGAAGAGTCATGGTTGGTGCCACGTGGCGAAATGGGTGCATCTTCTTCTTCTTCAGCTCTACGACTAAACATATCAACTGATCATGATGATGATACTGATGATGGTGATGGTGGTGATGATGATCAATTTGCTAAGAAAGGGAAGTCTTCACTTTCTCTCAATTTCAATCCATGAGAAGTTTCATCATCTTCTTTTTGAATTGTCTCTTTATTTTATTTCATTAATTAGTAAATTTTTCAAGGTTATTAGATTCTAGCTAGTGAGAGGAAGAAATTAAAAACGATCTTCTTCGTTTTTTTTTTTTTGGTTATGAATTTTGTTTTCGACATGTTTTTTGATGTTAATCACTAGGCTTTTGTCACCATGTTGAAACTCGCATCTTTTCAATTTTGTATATAAACTTATATATAAATATGATTTACATGAAATAACATGTTCACATGCCTCAAATTTTAGCTAATTATATCCAATATTCGCTGTAACTCATTGTTTAGTCATCATCTTAATAAATTATATATTAACCTTAATACTTGACTCTAGGTGAAACTGCCTTTAGCTATAGCATTTTATCAATGAAACAGTGTTCATCTTCTTCTTTTTTGAGTTTTAATATATATAATTTGAGATTATAATTGATGAGTGGGAAAAAAGCTTATAAATTTCATGAATTGTACTCTCTGTGCCTATCTCCCTACACTGACAAAGTGTTTCATGGTACATTCTAAGCTAATGGGCAGGTCCAAAAAAAGCCTCTCTTTTTTCTCTCTCTAATGGTCCTATTTTGTTTGCTTGGTTACTCTTGTAATTTTGCTCGGTTAAAGAGATTTTTGCAGGTTATGGGCAGAGAAAATAAAGAGAAGCTAGCTATGGAAGAAGGACTGATCCATTCATTTAGTAATTCAATTTATTATATTAAAAAGAACAAAAGGTATGATATGTTTTCACATTGTTTGACTTTTTTATGATCACAGGTTCATTAATTTCTCATTTTTTACTAATTCTAGATTCTTGTTTTTGTTATTAACCTTTGGTCAATAGCTTTGTTTGATTTGGTTTGCAAGTTGAACTGATTTTTACCAAATCAGGTATCTCTGTAGATCTCATAAACTCATGAGTTCTTTTAGAATGTTAGATCCTAAATCATTTGTCAATTACTATATATACACATGCATCTGCATATATACACATATACCTACCCACTATATATATATAACACAGTTTACACATGCATGTGTATAAAATTAATGTATTAAGTATACGTGGAACTTTTAAATGCAGTCTCTAGCTAGGGATCATAAGTTTCACCCTATAAGCTGTTCAATAGATTGCAGAATTGTTCATTGGTTACGTTGATTATACATATTTATAGTTTCCCAAGCATAGTAAAAGTATGATCCCATACAACATATATATATATATATATATATGCTAACTAGCAACTCTCAGATATGCTTCACAAACCGGGAATTTTTCTTTTGGTTGTTGTCATATCTACTATATGTGCATGTGCATATATATATGTAGGTTACAATTCCATGTATATAAACACATTCAGGTAAATAATTGAGAGAATTACTATTCTGTATTCCATGTATATAGTAAAATTGCGTTAATTAACTGTTATATTGTCAATCTTTTGCATGAAATTAAGATCAAATGGAGAAGTCATTAGCAGATTTTATTTCCCTCCTATTGGATAGACATACTCCAGTACACCTTCTATTATCCAAATCCGTTGTGATATTTCATGTAACTAAGCACTGGAGAGTCGAATTTTCAGTCCAATAAAGATTATAACACACGGAGGACTCCTTACCAGTTACCAGCGGGATGAGTTATACATTCATAGATGCATGTGTTTTTTTTTCTTTCCATGCTAATTCGGAATTTGACATGACTGATTTTGTATATCTTTAGATAAGTATGAGGGTCCGTATAATTTGTGATCGAATGATCCTAAAATAAGATAAATAAATGTCTGAACCTATCATTATAAGTACTTCATATCAGTTGAAGATCAATTGATCAAATATAGGGTTAATTAAGTGTTTCTCAATGTGTATACGTATATACAGTCCTGCGTCTATAAATACTCCCTAGACCGCAAACATTAAACAGGTAACATGTAGACGACATGGATCGGAGACTATATCTTACAAGCATACATATGTATGTTAATTATATGTGTAGCCCAAATATCTTCAATATAGGGGAACATAAGGTTTTAAAATGAATATCCATACACACATTTGCAAAAGGATGATGCTATATATAAATACGTATTCCAAATAGTCTACAAGTAGCTATTATATTGTGTACGTAGATATGTCTCAAAAGGCTTGTGCTATTATATTGTGTAGATATGTCTCAAAAGGCTTGTGCATAGTTGTCAAAAGAATATAAAATGTATTTAAATACTCAAAAGAATGCATGCATAGAAAAGAAGATTCATAATGAAATTAAAAGGGAAGGTATTAGTGAAAAGTACGGATGGCATTAAAATTAACTTAATTAAGAAAATGACTAAAGCAGACAATACTGTAACATATCTAAATGATTAGTTGTGTAAGAATAAAGAGAATAAATGACATGCTCCAATTATTGTTAAATAAAATAATTCATTCTCATTAGATTCCTGACCTAAAAGAGACTGCAAATATGTAGGCCGGTTAGGGTTTTTATAGGCATGATTGATGATGATAAGGAAACTTCGTATTGGGGGTTAATGGGTTCTTCCCTTTCTAATACATTTTTAAATAAACTAATAATTAACTATTCATTTTAACTTTTAATTTACTGTTCCATTTTTATGTTGAGTTTACTTACTATTAAGAGAAACTGTTTTATCTAAGCCTCATTTACAAAGCAATTTCGTTTTGTTGTAGCCATGCGCTAATCAAATGCAACCAAACTAGTTTTTTTTTTTTTGGATTTTTTCGTCAGTGTTGAATTGCAAGAATATTTGTCTTTTCTTATGAATTATCCATCACCAATCATGAACTATATATAGAAAGTAACACGACAATAATAATATTAGTGCAGCACTATTTTACTAAAAAAATATTAGTGAAGCACTAGACTTTTCAGTAAGTGTGGTCAATTCTGAAGACTAATGTAGACTTTGAGATAAGGATGAACAATTTATCCAAATTGTTATGTCATATGGAAAAGATTTTTATCCAAATTGAACAATTTATAAAATCTAAAAACATATGTATAAATTACAACGTATATGATTTTTAAATTTGGGGTCCAAATACCCGGCTTAGAACAAAACTGGGCTTAACAAATTTAAAATTAAGAATTCATAAACTTGGCCCATGATTAGGCCCATTAAGGTCTTAAACAGTAGCCTTGACCCGGACGCGGACCCAGACCCAGACCCGGACTCCAATTGTTCCTTATTCTTGTTCAGAACTTCTGAGAGAGAAAGAGCAATGGCGGCGAGTGAACACAGATGCGTGGGATGTGGTTTTAGGGTAAAATCATTGTTCATTCAATACTCTCCGGGTAACATTCGTCTCATGAAATGCGTAAGCTTTTTATTAATTGATCTTTTTTTTTGACCCAATTAGGGTTTTAAGATTCTCTATTAAATTTCTTCAAAGTGTCCATCTTTGATCATACTTTCTTAAAGAACATGTATTGTTCATTTAGGGAAACTGCAAGGAAGTAGCAGACGAATACATCGAGTGTGAACGCATGGTCTGTTTTCTATCACTTACTTTCCATTTTTGGGTGTTTTCTTATTTCTTTCCAAATTTGGTTTTTGGTTCTTTAATTGTTTCTTTTGCAGATTATTTTCATCGATTTAATCCTTCACAGACCAAAGGTTTATAGACACGTCCTCTACAATGCAATTAATCCAGAAACTGTCAATATTCAGGTAAAAACTAGTTCAGTTCAAGTTCTTGATTTCAAACATTGCTACTTCTCTGATCTTGAATTGATATTACAAACTTGTTGAATTTGAAATCTTTTTTCCATAAGTAGAAATATCTTAGACCTCAAGCAATAAATTAATTTCCAACTTTGGGGATACACAGAAATTCACAGTTGTCTCTGATCCAAGAAGACTTGTTGAGTTCTTCTCGTTTTTTTCGTGTGCAGCATTTGTTGTGGAAGTTGGTCTTCGTGTATCTTCTTCTAGACTCTTGTATCCTTTTGTTTCATAATCTCTTACGATCAAAGTAACTCGCAGATTCATCAGCAAACTCATTTGAAAAGCCTTAAACTCATCACAGATAGAAGCTTGCTACTGAGAAGAACTGATGAAGAATCGAGCTTTTCTCATAGCTCGGTTCTTATATCTATAAAGGTTATGTTTTTGTTAACTTTTTTTTAATGAACTTGATTGGATTGTTTTTCCTTCTTAAGATTTATATGTTTAAAGTCATTGGGATGGGTTTAGAAAGGATACTGTAATATTTTTGCATGTAAACAGGTTCTAATCGGTGTCTTATCTGCAAACGCTGCATTTATCTTCTCTTTCGCCATTGCGGCTAAGGGTTTGCTAAATGAAGTTTCCAGGTGATTACTGATTATTCTTCTCCTTAGTTCTTATTATGAGTTTTTCACCAAGATCTCAGACTGTTGTCACCTGAAGATTGGTTACGTATAAAATTTTTTAAAAACTTTGCAGAGGAAGAGAGATTATGTTGGGGATATGCATCTCTAGTTACTTCAAGATATTTCTGCTTGCAATGTTGGTATGTAGTAGTTTTTTACCTCTCACATAATTCCTAATATTGAAGTACCAAACTTCTTCTTATGCAATCATGCACTAAGTTTTTTGTATCGATTAAACCTGGTGTTATGTCTCTTTGCTCAAAAATAGAGAATCTTTGTTATTACAGGTATGGGAATTCCCAATGTCTGTGATCTTCATTGTCGATATACTTGTCTTAACATCAAACTCCATGGCTCTTAAAGGTCAGACCTTCAAAATGTTGTTAATGCAAATTGTTTGTTCTTGTTTTGGAATCTGACACTGCAAGTTTGTGCTAAAACCAGTGATGACTGAATCAACAATGACAAGATGCATAGCCGTATGCTTAATCGCGCACTTGGTTAGATTCTCGGTGGGTCAGATATTTGAGCCGACAATATTTTTGACACAATTTGGATCTCTGATGCAATATCTGTCTTATTTATTCAGAACCGTATGATCCCATCATCTTCCTTTACATTATATCATTTGTATTGTTGTATGACTAAGCCAAATATGATTGCCATCAAGAATTGAATTGGACCTTACTAAAATATCAAAATTAAATTGTTAGTCGTTGTGGTGCGGTAAGAATACTAATGGGCCACGCGTATCGGCCCATAAGACTCGATCGAAACCTTGCCCCTCACTCTTCGTCGCTCCCTCTTTCTCTTCTTTGTTCTCTCTGGCGTTTTAGTTTCGACCTTGTAAGTTTTGATTTAACCGTGTGAATCTATCTCTCCGAAGTCTTATCTGATGTTTGATTTCCGTTCTAGATTGAAGACCTTACTGCGATTTTGAATTTGATATTCTTTAGGTTTAAAGTCTTGAATGATGAAGGCGACACAGGAGCAGGTTGTGGCTGTAACCGCGGTCTTTTGGAGCAGTGTCCGGTTCCCCCTGGCTATGATGCTCGTCAGGTCGGTCCGTGTATTAAACGGTGTGTGGAGAATTTAGGCTACTCTGGTCCTCTCACTATCTTTGCCGTTGGCCTACTGACAAACATCCCCGATGACGTCCTGTGAGCAGTCTCTTCCACTGGAATCGTTCTTTATCACGTCCCCTACGGTTAATATCTTCTCATCCTTATGGCTTTCTACAGTAATATGTATACTTTTCCTTCCATGAGTCACAAGTCTTTGGTTCGTCTCTGAACTCTCAAGAGTCAATCAAGAAAGCTTCAACCAAGTCCATAGTCCACACTCCACAGTCCACAGTTTAAAGATGTAATGTAACTCGAAATTTGATATTACGTAGAATAATTTGACATTTTGTATCAAAGTCATGTTATGCAGTGAGACTGTTAAACACCTTTTTATTTCATTGCAAATGCAATTTCGGCTGCTTTGGCTGCTAACTGAATCATTGAGCCAACATTCTTTACACAATTTGGGTCTCTCATGTAACTAAAACCCCTTTCTTATACAAAACTATATGATCACTTATATATATGACTATACCACAAAACGATACCTAATTTATTATTACATACACTTGTTTTTTTTCTTTTCTATACATACATTTCCTGCATTTTTTTTTTCTCTTCTTTACATACTAGTAAAACACAACTTCAGACTTTTCCTGAGCGAGAAAACAGAGCAAAGAAACCAAAAGAAAAAAAACACACAGACAAGAAAGAAAATTGTGAGGAAGAATCCGATTTGACCTCTTAACCAACCAGAATGATCGAACCAATGATGGAGATGAACAACAAGACACCAATGATCATGTTCTTGAGATAGTTCCACTGTGCATTCCTTTGACTCCTCTTCTCCAAAACAATCCGGCTCTGCTTCACCGTGTTGTTGGATAGAGGTTTCTTGATCGAGTCTTCAGCCATTTTCCACTCGTATTCGCTTTTCTGAGAATATATCACCTACAAGCACACCCATAGCTCATAAATTAGAGGTAATTGTGTGACTCAAAGTTTGATGAAATATTGATTTCAGATTTCGTATCAAAGTCATGTTTCTCAGTGAGAGTGTTAAACCTTTTCTTTGTTCTGATACGGCAATTTCAACTGGTTTGGTTGCTCTTGTGCCTCATAATTGTGCGAAGGCTTACTAGTGTTCAATGGTTGAATATCATCTATAGGAGTATGGCACGGTTCATCTGAACTACCAACACTATCAGTCGAGCTTGAAGTGTCTTCGAAAATCTATCAAAATCCAAAACTCAACGTGTGAGATACAATAGAGATATAGGTTCTGAGCATATGTGTCAAAAAAAAGCTTACCATTGAGCCAGTTTCAGTATCACTGCTATCATCAGGCAAAACCCCAGTCACAGGTTTTTTTGGCCGGTAATCACTGTAATGCTCTTGCATAGATGTCCTTTCATCAATTAAAGACTCAAAATTTTCTTCAACCACAGACTTCCAAATCATCTCCGACTCATTTTCATAAGGGGCCAAGTAAGGAACTTGTTGTTGTAGGTTGATATAGTCACTCAACCACTGACCGCCGTGATTTGCTAAATCATACTCAGGGAGAAGGTTAAAAGATCCTGCATATCCTTCAACTGGTTGCTGCATGTCAAAGTTTCCACCAAGATTTGCTGAGTCATACTCAGAGAAATGGTTAAGAGACCCTAAATTTCCTTGAACTGGTAGCTGCATATTGAAGTTTTGCTGGCCATGATTTGCTGAATCATATTCAGAATAAGTGTTGTAAGATGCTGAATTTCCTTGACGTGATTGGTTGACCTGAAAAATGAAACAGTTCAAATCACAAGTTTGTTTTTGGTATGCTTACTTAAAAGCGCAGAGCAAAGGAGTGGACGGACATTGACTCACCACAGAACCTGCACTACTAGTCATATTAGGGACAAAAGTGGGAGTGGGATCTGTTGCGTTGGCAGATAGAATGCTCTTGTCGTTGCCCTTATATTCAAGTCTGCAGATGACATAGGTCCTCTGAAAAAATTTCCAGAGGTAAGCACATAAAAAAGCTAAGTCAGACATAGATTGTGTAACAATCATTGATGGAGTTCTTAACGCAGATAATAACATGAAAACAAGCATTCCCAGAAACTCAAATCCTATAACTAAGAAGAAACCACAGATATAAGCACATGTTCAATGAATAAACATGAGGAGGATTAATTACCTGCACTTACACATAGATCAGAGGCAGTGAAATCGAAAAATTGAAACATATTTAAAAAAAAAAAAAAAAAAAAAAAACCTCATGTTCTGGTAAGAGGTCGTCGTGAAACTCGTGGATAACCCAATCAGATTTGGTTTTGTCAGAGATTCTTCCCTTGAGGAAGACCAAAACCCTTTTATGACCAATCTTACCAGGAGTGGTACACCAAGTTCCCCACTGATCCTTGACATCCACAGGCTCTCCAGTAACCTTCCAGAAGCCAGAATCTGTTGTCCTGCTCTGTCGATTCCCATTGGTGTACTTGTTTTCTCTTCGAGAGAAGAAATACCACATAGGATCTCTCGATTTTATCTTAGATTGGACTGTTATACATGAAGCAAAGTGAAAACAAATAAAAAACCTAAATCACTCACGACTCGAATGAAATTTGAAAATCTGCAACTTACACCGCAAGTTCCATGGATCGAAGCTACAGATGTTGACCTCGTTAATGGCTCCTTCTACTAGCCAATTCTTTCCCAGAATTTTGTTATGGAGATAGTAACCTACGAGCTCATCATCCGTCGGACGGAATCCATATCCCACCAAATCCTCCATTTTTCAATCCGACCAAAGGAACCGAAATCGTCCGAGAGATTCTTTTTTTTTTTTTTTTTTGGGGTTTCAGAGCAAAAAAGAAAAAAAAAAAAAACGGAGAAATTGCTTCGAAGGTTTCCGACTGAAGAGTTTCGCCGCCGGTCGCTCGCTCTCTCTTTCTCTCCGATTATATATATATTTTTTTGGTTTGGAGGGAGAAGACAGTGAAAGCAGAGTTTAAATAAGCCAACATATTCTTTTTTTAATTAAAATTATTATTATTATTATTATGGAATTTCGATTCAATTGGTTTGTAACAATTTTGAAGATTAAATCCATTAGAAGAAAAATTAAATAATTCAAAAAAATAAATAATAATAAATTCAGCCTTCTTAGGGAAGGGAAGGTGCTGGGCGGTAGTAAATGGGTCCCTCGCAAGCAAAACAAAGGAGAGCAACTGGAATCTGTCTTCTGGCTTCTTAATTATGTGTGTGAACACGCATAATATTTCATCTGATGAGTGTGTGTGTGTGTGTGCTTATTTTATCTTGAATCCTGTGGATATGTTGTTAAATCCATCTAGAAGCTTAACTTTTTAAATGGCTAATTGTAAGCTTATTTTAGTTTTTTTGACCATGTTTGTTGGGCTTGTCGCAAATGGTTCGTTGGGTTGCATTTATCTATGGAACAATAAGCTTATTGTGTCTACGAACTCAAACGATTGAGCCATTTTCCAAACCGAACAAATAACAACAACTTTAAAATATACACCAGTAGATAACATATACAGATCGTATGAAGTAGGTGATTAGAAAACTCTAAGATCCCTAGAAAATTTATACTAGCTAGTGTGGAATGCAATTATCTAGTGGCTCTCATTAGCCACTAACATGTGGTAGGTTCAGGTCTTCCAAAGTGAAGTTTTTAATATTGGCAGAAAAAATAGCAAATCTCTTTTAACAAAAAAAATAAAACCACCAATATATCTTTGCCTACGTTTTCTTTCTACCTTTTCTTTTGTCTTTTTGGGGTTTACATAGATTGTTTCTTCTTTTTGGATTTGTCATGGTTGTTGGTATACTTGTGAGTTGTGACTCTCTTTTTTTTTTCGCCTCTTGTGAGTTGTGACTAGAAACGTTATGACATGCCTAAGAATTCATAACAAGCCAAAACTCAAGATAACGTAAGCCATATATGCATATATATTTTTTTCACCAGAAAAAAAAAACATGGCTTTGAGAAGAGAAAAAAAAAAAACAATAATTAAATTTAATTCAAAAGATGTATAGCTGTAGTAATCTAAGATGTTGAAAAAAAGAACGACATTTAAAAACAAAATCTTCAAGGATTTGATTTCGTATCTCCAAATGACCGAAACAACATTCATGACCAAATTTTTCTTTTACTTTTGAATTAATGCGTATTATAAAGTTAGAAGATAGCTCTTACCAAGTGGTTTCAAATGTTTGACCAATACGAGACTTTCCTTGTAAGAAAATATCATAGTGAAACAAAAAGATAAAATTAAAATACAATAGGAGTCAAACATAATGCGATGAATAATTACTTTTGTTGTCACTGGTTTGATATTGCGTGAAACATGATTTTACTATGAATAAATGGTTAGATATAAGGGTTTTTGGAAGAAATTAGTTTCTAGACACTGAATTATGCATATAACAATGTGAGTGACCAAAACTTAGTATAAGTAAAAAAAAATTGTAATGAATTGTCTTAAAAATTGTATTTGTTTCTTCTTGCCTTGTTGGCATTCTCGTACCTATTTCCAAATTCATTCATGCATTTGGACAAATGAAATGATGATGCATGATATGGAGATAGATGTGGACGGAAAGAACATTATAAAAACAAAATCTAAAAGGAGATTTGATTTCGTATCTCCAAATGACGGAACCTAGGCTACATTCATGACCGATATATTTTATTTTTTTCCTTTTGATAATGCGTGATATTTGTTGGTATAATAATGCAAAATGTAAAGTTAGAAGATAGTTTTTAGTTTTTAGTTCTTTTAGTTCTTACCCAAACAAAAGTAAGAAGATAGTTTTTAGCTTTCAAATATTGACCAATTGGTAGCTTTCAAGCTCATAAGTCATAAGTCATAACTTGAAAGAGTTTTAGTAAAATTAACATGTTTTTAGTTAAAACTAATTTTTAAAAAGTTTTAGTAAAATTAACATGTTTTTAGTTAAAATTATTAATGTTTAAATGTTTAAGTATTAAATTTTTTAAAATTTTAGTGAAATTAAAGAATTTTAGTGAAATAATAATTATTTTTTAATTAGTTTAAGTGTTAAATTTTAAACACGTTGAAACATGTTGAATTTCGAACATCAAAGCTTATGGACCAACTAAGGACATAATGCCTAGCCTCGGTTAGTTTTTGATGTTTTTAAAATTTAACATTTAAACTGATTTTTAAAAAAGTTAACACTTAATTATCATAAAGAAGAAAAAAAAAATATTTCAAAAATTAAAAAGTGTCAAAAATTTAATTATGTGTAAACTATATTGAACCTAAAATACATGTTATGGGTTTGGATAATGTATCTAACTAGTTTACACAAAATTAAAAACTGTAACAGTACTTATAAAAAAAAAAACATTTTTAAAAAAACAGGTGTTAAGAATTTAATTATATGTAAACCATATTGAACCTATAACACCTCTTAGGGATTTGAATGATGTATCCAATTAGTTTACACAAAATTAAAAAATTTAACACTTATAAAAAAACAACAAAAAAAACAAAAAATTTAAACTAAAAAACAAGTGTTAAGAATTTAATTATGTGTAAACCATATTGAACCTAGAACACCTCTTAGGAGTTTGGATGATGTATCCAATTAGTTTACACAAAATTAAAAAATTAAAAAATTTAACACTTATAAAAAAACAAAACAGAAACAAAACAAAACATTTTATAAAAAATAAGTGTTAATAATTTAATTATGTGTAAACCATATTGAACCTAGAACACCTCTTAGGGGTTTGGATGATGTATCCAATTAGTTTACACAAAATTAAAATTTTTAGCACTTATAAAAAACAAAAAAAAAACAAAACATTTTAAAAAAATAATAAGTGTTAAAAATTTAATTATGTGTAAATCATATTGAACCTAGAACACCTCTTAGGGGTTTGGATGATGTATCCAATTAGTTTACACAAAATTAAAAAATTTAACACTTATAAAAAAACAAATAAAAAAACAAAACATTAAAAAAAAACAAGTGTTAAAAATGTAATTATGTGTAAAGTATATTGAACCTAGAACACCTCTTAGGGGTTTGGATGTTGTATCCAATTAGTTTACACAAAATTAAAAATTTTAGCACTTATAAAAAAACAAAAAAAAAACAAAAAAAAAAACAAAACGTTTTAAAAAAATAATAAGTGTTAAAAATTTAATTATGTGTAAATCATATTGAACCTAGAACACCTCTTAGGGGTTTGGATGATGTATCCAATTAGTTTACACAAAATTAAAAAATTTAGCACTTATAAAAAAACAAAAAAAAAACAAAAAAAAAACAAAACGTTTTAAAAAAATAATAAGTGTTAAAAATTTAATTATGTGTAAATCATATTGAACCTAGAACACCTCTTAGGGGTTTGGATGATGTATCCAATTAGTTTACACAAAATTAAAAAATTTAACACTTATAAAAAAACAAATAAAAAAACAAAACATTAAAAAAAACAAGTGTTAAAAATGTAATTATGTGTAAACTATATTGAACCTAGAACACCTCTTAGGGGTTTGGATGTTGTATCCAATTAGTTTACACAAAAATTAAAAAATTTAGCACTTATAAAAAAACAAAAAAAAAACAAAAAAAAACAAAACGTTTTAAAAAAATAATAAGTGTTAAAAATTTAATTATGTGTAAATCATATTGAACCTAGAACACCTCTTAGGGGTTTGGATGATGTATCCAATTAGTTTACACAAAATTAAAAAATTTAACACTTATAAAAAAATAAATAAAAAAACAAAACATTAAAAAAAAACAAGTGTTAAAAATGTAATTATGTGTAAACTATATTGAACCTAGAACACCTCTTAGGGGTTTGGATGTTGTATCCAATTAGTTTACACAAAAATTAAAAATTTAACACTTATCAAAAAAAATGTTTAAAAGAGAAAAAAATATCAAACTTTTTATTTGAAAAAATAAATAAAGAAATAAAGGAAGTATTATACCTGATTGGACTTCGTTTGGGCCTTCACAAGAAAAGCCCATTGCCAAGTTGTTCGTCATTGCTCTGTTTTGTAGCTGTTGATCGTGACATTGATGAAACTCAAACTATCGAACTCGTCTTCATTACCAAGTCCTTTGAATATGATCTGTTCCATTGCCAAGTCATTCTTCGCTGCCACTGCACTGGTCGTCGTCTTCACTAATCTCATGAGAACGGATCAAAAAGAACAGTGAAATTAGGGTAGACCCGATTGACAGAGGATGGTGATCAATCACGAGACGAGACGTTTTCGTCCGATCAATCCTACGGATGAAATCGTTGCATAGATCATCGGCATACTTCAATCTTTGAATGGGTCATCTCCTTCACGGTCTCGATCATATCCGTAAGACATTCGCAGAAGTTTGCTTCAGAAGAAACAAGAGGTATTTAAAAAAAAAAAAAAAAAAGGAGATGAAAGATGGATTCTTTTGTTTTCGTTTTGAAGAAGAAGATGAATGGAGAATTATGATTTCACAAAGAAGAAGAGTATTTATAAGCAAACGTTGTTCAATAGAAAAAAAAGGAAATTTTGGATTGTTTCCTTTTTGTTTTACGACGAGGATAAGAAAAAAGAAATTTATTTTAGTTATGTTGCAAAACTTATGGAAATTTGCTCACAACGGTCATATTTGTTATTTGTGCATAATATTATTTGAGTTTTAGTGGGTAACAATTTATCAAGATAATATTTGTGTTTTAGTGTGTAACGGTCATATTTGTTATTTGTGCGTAAAATTATAATAGTGTGTAACAAGTTATCAAGATAAATTATTTGAGTTTTCTTATTTGTTGAAACAGAGAATGAGCCGTTGAAATCGAGAAGAGCAAAGTCGGGATCATCTGAGCTCCTTGACAAGATCGTGCAACTAAGGTCTGTACCGAATTTTTTAGTTGCTTATCTTTGGTTTCTTTGTAAAAACACAATTACAAACTCGTTAGATTCAAAGAAAAACTTTCACTCATAACAGAACACTAACCATCATCAATGATACAAAACAGAGCACTCCTTAACCATCCATGTTGTTGCTGTCTCCGTTAACAACCAAAAGCATCAAGAAATAAGGAAAGTAGAAGATGTGTCAGAGAAAGCCTTGTCTTGTAGACGAGAAAGCATAAGGAATGATAAGTAGCATTAGGACTACCAAGAAGGCTGAATCTATGGATAAGTTGTTAAATCCATCTGGAAGGTTGACTTTCTGAATGGCTAATTATTAGCTTTTAATTTTGACAATGTTGTTGTGCTTGTCGCAAATGGTTCGTGGGTTGCATTCAAGTATGGAACAATGCTTTTGTCTTACGAACTCAAACGATTGAGCCGTTTTCCAAACCAAACAAATAACAACATCTTTAAAACCATCCACCATTAGATATTTAGATTACATCTACATAGTAGGAAGTAGGTGATTAGAAAACTCTAAGATCCCTACAGAAAATTAATACTAGTGTGGGATGCAATTATCTACTGGCTCTCATTAGTCAGTAGTCACTAACGTGTGGTAGGTTCAAGTCTTCCTAAGAGACGTTTTAATATTGGCAGAAAATAGCAAATATCTTTTAACAAACAAATAAAACCAGCAATATATCTCTACCTACCTTTTCTTTATACTTTTTCTTTTGTCTTTTTGGGGTTTAAATAGATTGTTTCTTCCTTTTGGATTTATCATGGTTGTTGGTATACTTGTGACTTGTGAGTTGTGACTACAAACGTTAATTATGACATGCCTAAGAATTCATAACATGCCAAAATTTAAGGTAACGAAAGCCATAGGTATGATGTATGCATATATTATTTTTCACCATAATTAAAAACATGGCTTTTGAGAAGAGAGAAATAAAACAATATAGTTGTTATGAATTCTACAATGAGAATTGATTTCGTATCTCCAAATGACCTAAACAACATGCATGACCAAAAATTTTCTTTGAGCATTGAATCAAAGGTTCCTCAAATAACATTTGGTTTAATTAACTCCATTCGGTTAATCTCTCTGTGATTTTTTCAAAATGTGTTTATCTACTTTATTTCTCCTAAAACAATTGTACCTATAAAATTAAATACTGAACGTAAACGCAATCATAAAATAACTGACTATAGCCAGAGCCGTCCAAGAATATTTTATGGCCACAAGCAAAATTTATTTTTTTTTGCTGTTTTTTCTTTTTAAAAAAATAAAATAAAAATCTCTCCAACTGGGTTACGAACCGGAGACCTCATCCCAATAGTCGGAGTATGTTACCAATAGAACTAACAGGTTTTCACATAAAAATGGGGCCGATTTAATAGATAAATATTTGACGGCCGCAAGCACCAGCTTGGCTGGCTTATACCCATCGACGGCTCTGACTATAGCAATAGTAATTATATTTTTCTTCACAACATTAAGTATTATGTTTATTACATTATCTTTGAAACGAAATCTTCAATATGTGTTTGGTCTAAATAAATACTGGAGTATTAAAACATGAAATAAAAATTAGTATATAAACAATGGAGTGAAATGAATCATGAGTTATACTTTGCTTACTTTGAATATTTTCGTTGCCAAAAGTATTATATAATGTTTAAATATGTTCGAGAAGGTGATGTCCGGTCTACCGGAATTTTCTGTTTTTGTGTCTTATATATAGTTTTCCGATCTATTCGGATTTCTCTTTCTTCTTAGTCAGTTTAATTTCGTCTTAGTTTATTTCACTTGTTGACTAAGATAGAACTATATCTCTTTTGTTCTACCCTCTTTCTACATAAAATTAATCAATATCCCGTTTGCTCTTGATTGGATTAGCCATCAACTTGATTCTTCTCTCAAGTTAAGAGTAATATCTTCGCTACTAAATCTTCGTCGTTTGTGATCGAAGTTGACCTCATCATTAGGTCTTAGGCGGAGCTTCTTCTTGGAGTATGGATTGAGTTGTATAATTTCCTTAGGGTAACTCCAATTTTAAAGACAAGCGGTTATAATTGTAGAAGGATGGTTCAAAGAGTATGATTTCAAGCTTTCATCTCTAAGTTAACGTCTCCATCTGGTTTGCCATCACAAAGAAGCGGTTATGAGCAATCAATTTTATCAAGATCGGCGCCGGAGCAAAGAACGGTGGTGAGCAATCAATGGTGTTCCATTGGTTTTCTCGCATCATCTGACGTATGGGCCCTACTGTGTTTTGTATCTAACACGTGTCTTGTACGTGTCTTATATGTAGTTGGGTTCATTTGGGCTTAAAAGGCTTGTATCTACTCTTGTATCTTGCTCATTATGAGCTTTCGTTTATAAAACGAGTTGCCGACAAAAAAAAAAAAAAAAAATATGTTCGAGTGACATGTAAAGCGAAAAAGGTGACCACATTTTCACCGCAAATAATCGGCCTCTCCTTTTGCATTATTTTAATATTTTAGTGTGGAAGTTTTTGGGTTAAAGAAAGCAATATAGCCTAAAGACCGTCCAAATCAAATGTTTCGATGTTTTATTAGGATCCGACGATAATACTTATTATATATATCAACTGACAAATCTTTTGGAAAATTAAGATATCATGTGGATGTTTGCACTCACATGAGTCCTTCTCATCAATGTGCATGCTTTTTTGTCGTTTTCATTAAAGCGCTTTGATTTTATAACTTCTTTGTTTTCCCTTCTTCATGGCTTTGTTTCTTTTTTCTTATAATATACATTTTTGTCCTTTTTACTAGTCAAGTACAGTTTATGCTCTTATGATTCTTATCAGCGAAAACTCCTATTTAAGTTAAACTCCCCTCTTGTTTTTTCCTTAATTCTAAATCATCACTGAAACTCTATTACAATTTCAAGTTTTTTTTTTGGTTTCTCAATTACTATCTTCGTTTGTATCAGTTAATAGAGATGTATAGATGCACATTTAACCCACCTGAGGAAGAACTCATTAACTATTACTTGAATAACAAGATCACAGAGAATGATGATCTAGTGGGAAGGCAAATAACCGAAGTCAATATATGTCACCATGAACCTGCAGATTTACCTGGTAATTATTATATATAAACCATAAAATCCTAAACCCTAAATCTCATGTTTACACTCTAACATTTCTTCTTTATGTTTATCTGTGGTTTGAAAAGGGCTGGCGAAGATAGAATCGAGTCACACTTGGTACTTCATATCGCCGGTGGAGAAGTTTGGAAAGCTGAACCGAACGAAGAGGGCGTCGAGGACAGGGCACTGGAAGATAACCGGGAATAGTCGTACCATTAAGGACGTTGATGGTAACCCTATCGGTTTAAAGAAGTTTCTTGTTTTTCAAGAAAACAAAAGATCTTCTTCTTCCTCGTCATCCACCACTACCACCCAACAACAAAAGACCAATTGGATTATCCATGAATTTCATTCCTTTCTCCACCATCCCAACAAGGTATCTATATCTACATAATACATATATAAACAGAAGTGTTGAAACATTAACTAGTGGCTGACTCTATATAAATTCATTTGAAGGATGCATTTGTTCTCTGCAAACTAGTGAAAAAGACAAGAACTAGACGGAGTGGCGCCATCTCAGAGGATTTCCCGGCGGCTTTAGATCAGTCTCTCACTTCAGACCCTATCCTTCACCACTCCCAGGTTACTTCAGAAGTTAAAATATGGGAGGGAAACAAATCATTAAATTCGTTACAAGATTAATGTTGGTTCATACTTCAATTTTATAAACCAAAAAATGTTTTATTTATAACGTTTCAGCCTTAATTATTTTCTTAAAAATGATCTATAATTAATTTCATTTTTTAAAAAGGAAGTTAAAGTTTTAAACAATACTTTTGGTTAATCTGGTTCGGTCTTTATTACAAGTTGTTCAGATAAAAGTCATAGAATTACTGTATTTCCTGTTTTGTTTAAAGTTTAAGATTATTTGATTTGATATGAAGTTTATAACCAAATTTGAAATATATTTGACTATTTTTAGATGCTGACGGAGAACAAGAACGAAGATTATGGCGGAGATTATTGTAATGGCTTAGACGAGCTTCTCCCTGTATATAACACCAATAAGTGGTTTGATCACTCTCAATACTCTCATCAATTCGATCATTTTCATTGGGATTGTTTCACCGATTTAACGCAGGTACGTATGTAAAATAATTTTAAAATAAGAAAATAATAATCCGATTATCATAAATTACTTGTTTTCAGAAATATAATCTATTCACATACAAATTTATAGCATAATAGTTACGGTACAAGTTTCCTACTAATTAAAAACAAAAACCAAAATTGGCTTCACAGTCATTGGAACAAGGTGAATCCAGCGGCCTCCTTCTCGGAGAAAATGGACACGCGTATGAACAAGACACCACAGAAAACTCCAATGTGAGACCACTTTAACGGAAACATTTTCTTTGCCAACTATATAACGAATTATTTATTCAAAAAAAATAGTAGTATTATTATTATTATACTTTTGATTCTCTGTTCCGCATGATTTGGGAGTAGGGGAATGTGAAGTAGTAGTGGTGGCCCAAGTTATGTTTCCAAACGCCAATAACGACCAAATCTAGATGACATTTGGTCACGTGGAAGCATCAAGTTTCAGGCGCCGCACTTGCTTTTCAACGAATGGCTCAGTTTCAACTACTTCGAGAAAAAATCCAAAACCATAAAGGCTATTTGAAATCTTCTTTACAATTTCTTCTACTATTATATTGCTTTGTTGTTGTACTATATTTCACGGCCTCCCATGAATATTTTAAATATAAATAAAAGTGGTGGGCGCATGTCTTTTATGTTCTGAAGATTCAAATCCAATGAAACAACATTAATTCAGCAAATTGTAACCAAATCCTATATTATACTGAACTATCATCATAATTCAAAAACATTAATCTATAGTGCATATTTATGATTAGTCAAGTAAGTTCTACAAACTAATTGGGCATATCACATGTAATTAGTCCAGTACTTCAACAATTTCTCTTGGTTTTTTTCTTTGAAACACAATCCTAAACATGTATGAAATATAAATTGAATTGAAGACCATACCAGAAACAACTAAGTAAAGTTCAACCTACCTCAAATATTGTAGTACTCGAAGCTCCATTTTGGCTACTACAAGGGATTGGAGGGTGATTAAGCTCAATTACACAATCAGAATTACCAGGAGTATCCTTGTCTTCACTTTTAAACTCTACTTTGCAGACAACATATGCTCTCTGTCCAAATCAAGTTAACGTTTTTTTAAACCCGTAAGAGATCTTACTAGAAAAGTTTGAGAAATGCGGTCAAAATCACATTAAGAAAAAGATCAAATATCACATGGAGACCATAATTAAAACAACCCAGCACTAGACTAACAACTACGCCGAATCAACTTTATTCTCTTTTTTCAAGTTTTAGTTTTTACCAATCTTTATAGAAAGTATATACGACATATCATTAACATGAGTTGTTTAAATGGTCTCTCGACTTCCTAAACCAAAGCGGTTGGTCGTCAAATCAGTAATACCAAAAATGTAACCTTAAATTTGATTGATCTTAGCTTTAGGGCTGATTTACGGCTAATCTGCAGATTCACACAACAGAGTTACCAAAAAAAAAAAGTCTAATGGCTATAAATTATAGAATTGAAAAATTACCTGATCGGGAGGCAAAAACGTGGGTTGATACACGTGCATTACCCAATCGGATTTGGATCCATTAGGATTTGCACAAGATTGAAACACCAAAACTTTCTTCTCACCAATCTTAACACCATTGGTTCTTTTCCTCTTACCGATGATTGGTGTGTTGGATCCGGTTTCTTTCCAATAACCCGAACTCGTTTTCCATATTTCTTCGTTAAACTTATAGTCATCACGACTATAGAAGTACCATACCTTATTATCATTACTACACTTCTCTTTGATTTGGCTATAATAAAAAAAAAAATTTGATAAAAAACCGTAGATCATAGATTAGTCAGTAATTAATGATTTAATCAGAAATCATGATCCAGTAATTAATCAAACCTACATGGCAAATCCCAAGGATCGTAACTAGAGATTTCAACGGTGGTAATGAAATGATTGACATCGCCTTCCTCGATGCCGAGATGTTTTAGCCGGAGGTAATAGTCGATGATGACGTCATCTGTCGGCCGGAATCTAAAATCTGCGGGATAGTCTATTCTGATCGAGTAAACCCTAAAATTAAAAACAATAGAGAGCGATAATAAATGCAAAAAAGGGTTTGCACTTTTTATATATAGGCAAGTTTTAAAAAACAAAATTCCTTTTGTTTGGGCAACACAAGAAAATTCCTTAATTCTAAATAAGATATCTATATATACATTTTTGAATGACTTTTAGCAAATAAATCCTGGAGTTGGACCTTATTTACGGATGAATGCCATTGGCATTAATTATTTAAATTTGAAAAATATTACTTAAAGATATTACCAATACGATTTCGAGAATCATAAATTCATATCTTCCTTAATTTTCTGAGTCATTAATGTGATAATCTTTAGGAAATATTTCTCTGTAAAAAAAAAAATCCACATTAATGAAGGCATTAAAATCGACACTAACAATTAAATTATTTAGATGTTCAATTATTTTAAGATACTTATATCTTATTTGATATATTTTTTTTAATATCTCATTCTTTAATTACTGCGTTTAGAATTTATTGGTTGTTACCTATTTTTTGGTGAAATTTATTGGTTGTTACTTAATAAGTAATTATGGTGCGTTTATTTTAGTTAATATCTAATTTAAAGGATTTGTTTTCTTTTATTATTAATAAATGAATAACATGTATAGAAATAAAAGATTTTTTTTGCGACTCCATAATAAAAATATTAAACTCTTATTTTCTACATTTCTTACACATAATATCCTCTTATTCAATAACAAAAAATATATATTACATATTTTTAAAAATATTTATAATATTTAAATTATATAAAAAATTTGTAATATTAATATTATTTCAACTCTATACAAATTTAATATATATGTATATATATCTTATGGGAACCATTTAAAAGAAATTTTTAAATTGACTTGAATTATATAGCTTTTAAATAAAAGTATTATTAAAAAGAAAAATAACTAAATAATGTTTAATTTCACGGGACGGGTAATATGATGGGACGGGTTTGGGTTGATATTTATAAAAGATCGTATACCACGGGTGAAATCCTAAAATTAACAATCAAAATAATCTATCAAACAAATTACATTTTGATTTTTTTAAGAAAATATAGCCCCGCGGTGTACCGCGGGTTAAAATCTAGTACATAACAAACGAGGTAAGTTGATGTATAATAAGAAAGTCTTGTAAGTTGAACGCCGAAACATAGGATTTAATCAAGAAACAAAATGAAATTAATTAAGAAGAAGGAAAAAAACAAAAATTAATTGATACTCCCTCCGTTTCAAAATATAAGGCGTTTTAGCTAAGAGCACGTCGATTAATAAGATCTACTTTTTAAAAGTTCAGTCAATCATAAAAGAGACTGCATAATAAAAATAATCATAAAATATTAAAGTAATATATAATTTGTATAGAAACTTGAAAACGACTTATATTTTGAAACAAAACAGTTTCTCCAAAACGTCTTATATTTTGAAACAGAGGGAGTATATGATAATGCAAACAATAACCTTATTTAAGAGGAAGGAAAATAAAAGTTAGCATTAGTCTAATGTGTTTTGGACTTAACCATCAACATGACAACATGCACGTGTATAACATATATGATGTAGACTTAAAAGTCCAAAAGAGAGTCTTGACATTACTAAAATGAAGCATATTGATTTGAAATTTATTCTTGTTTTCTTTTGTTGAACGGAATTTGGTTTGTGGGGTTAGGTAGGAGGACTAGAAGAGTACTTCGATGTTGATTGCTACGTCAAAGAAAATTTGACCATTTGGTTAGCTGTATGAGTTGAAATTATACAACTTTGTCTTCACAATGGAACCCACACACACACACACAAGATGAGAAAGTTACAAAACAAGATAGAAATTGTTAAGTCAACTGATAAAAACTTGTCTTCTCTAACCACTTTCTTATCATAAATTCACCATTTTTATATAATATTAGGACACACATACAGTACGGAAAACTTAAAAAACAAGAAAGACATAACATATACTTGTACAGATTTTGGAAAGTAGAAAAGGTGTTTTTGACCACTTTTATTGCTATCAAGTTCTTGAGATAGAAGAACAAAGGTGAATTTTCTTGACGAATTTTTGTATCATCCTGTGAAAGAAACCAGCACTTTTCTTCTTGATCGTCTCTTGACCCAATTTATGCTCTCCAATCTCAGTCTCTTGTGCATCATTAGAAGGATTCTTCTTCTTCTCGGGTGTATCGATACTGGTTATCAGAGCTTGGCTCACCTAAAAATCAAATCAAAGAACCCAAAATGTTGTGAGTACCGCTGGCACAAAGTAGGATTAGGTTGCCTCAGTGAAAGAGAGCTAATAAAGCTCACCTCTTGAGTTAGTGACACTAACTTGATTGTTGATTTAGGAGATTGTTTCAGGTCTTTGATTTTGTCTACGCGATGATTTGAGCTACCAAAACTATCACAAGTGCTCGAAGTTTGAATAGAATTCTGTGATATCCCACCAAAATTAGCTTTGTGAGATGGAAGCTGAAAACAGAGAAAGACATAGTTTTTTTTTTTTTTTGAAACCAAAACTTTTGCTTACCGTAGTTGCAGATAGCAAATCCGAATCATTATCATCACTGCTATAATCACTGAAGACACCAGTTAATGACTTTGGAGGTCTGTACTCATTGCGATTATCTTGCATAAACATGATACTCCTCTGTTCACCAGCATCATCATCATTCAACCATGTTTCCCATTCCTCTCTCGGTATAGCATCCTCGATTTGAGCTTCTTGCTGCACATCACCAACCCGACTTGGATTCTGTAACTCTTGGCTGTGAAAGGACGATCCCTGAAAAATGGAAGAACACAAAACAAGTCGTTGTCAGATTTAAAAGACAGAAACAAACAGAGAAAGTTTCGAGATTGACCCACCTCAGAATTGTTCTCAAGAAGAGGGATTAAAGAGGGACGACTCTGCTCAATTCCACTACCATGAGAAGAAGAAGAAGAAGAAGCAGAAGGAATCTCTCTCACGTCACCCTTAAACATAACTTTACAGATTGTGTATGTCATCATCATCTGTAAAACAATTCAATCAAAAACTCACAATCCCCCAAGCAATGAAATCGCAAAGAAACAGAGAGTACCTGAGTAGGAGAGAAAGCGTGGTACTCGTGCATAACCCAATCGGATTTAGATCCACCGAGTTCCTTACTGTAGTAAAACATCAAAATTCTTTTCTCACCGATCTTTTGGCGATTACGCATGATAGCCTTTGGTTTACCAGTAATCTTCCAAAACCCAGATTTCGTTTTTCTAATCTGTTGCTCACCTCTGCCATATTTGTTCTCCTTAGGGCTGAAGAAACACCAAGACTCATCTTTCAGTTTTATCCTCGACTGGCCTACCAACAAAAACAAACCCTAGAATTAGAAACTAGCCGATGATGATTCGATTCAACAGTGAGAAGGGGACTCGTGAAGACTTACAAGGTAACTCCCAAGGATCAAAGCTACGGATAGTGACTGTGCTAATGACTCGATCGACATGGCTCGTGTCCCTTTCGAGATTTTTTGGTCGGAGGTAATCGACGACGATCTCCTCGTCGGTCGGACGGAATCTTAAACCCACCGGATTCTCCATTTCTCGACAGTGATCAAAAACGAAGAGAAAAAGAAAAAGAAAAGGATCAAAAAAATATGCAGCGGAGAGCTTTCGCCATTGTTGCTGTTCTTCTGCAACTTAATCGGAGAAGAAAGACGAAGAGGGTTTTATTATTTATAAATTTATTTAACTGTCACGGTAAACTTACGCCTTACGCTAAGACATGGGTTATGTTTTGGAATGGTAAATACGTGGCACGTTTGTTTATCACTTGTCTTATTATTTTATTTAACTCTAGATTATACATCGTATCAATTCCTTTATAATGTCCATACCAATCTTACCTTGCGGCTTTGTTTTTTTTTTTTTTAATTTTAATCAGAAAAGGAGGGGAAAAGAAGATTTGCAAGTTGCAATTATTTTTTAATCGAAAATTGGCATATAGTGGCGTATCTTTTCATCATGTGACGTTAGTTTCTCCCAACACGTAACTAAGAAATTACATTTATTTGTTGAACATGTTTAAATGTTTCCCTTTATTACATTTTGTTGGCCCATTTGGAAGATATACAATGAGCAACTGATTAACGTTAACGTCGATGGTCCCTTATCTATGTCGAAACAGAAACATATACGATGGTATCTCTATATGCGAATAGGAAGCTTCGTACAAGCCTTAACCAGAAATAAAATAAACTGATAAACCTTTTGTTTAAAGGAAGAAAGAATTGGCATGCGTATACAAAGTGAATATTCAATTGCAAAAATGGAAAAAAAAAAAAAAAAAAAAAAAAAAAAAGAAGTTTGTTATATGCGACGGCCTAGATCAGTTTTGGAATGATACTGAATGATAAACACGTGGCAAGTTTGGTTATCGTTTGTCACACTCACCGACTCACGTATATATTTTCATTTACTTATATCGCGTTCGTAAATAATAGATATATTATAGAACAGTGAAGTGGTGGGCCAATACATGTTACCAAACACCAACGACGACCAAATCTAAAATATGTGACCTAATTGGGCCACGTGGAAGCGTCTAATTACACGCGCCGTTCTTACTTTTCAAGCAAGGCACATTTTCAACTTTCAACTAAGGCCATAAAAATCTTCTTTACAAATTTAGAGAAATGTTATTATTTTTTATTCTTTGGGTGTCGATTTTAGAGAAATGTTTGGTAACAGTTTTGCTGAAATGATTTTGTTTTGGATTGGCTAAAGTAAGAATCCTGTTCAATTGTTTGTTTATAAAATAAAAAATCTCACAATGAGGAAGAAAACAAAAAATGTAGCATTAGTCTAATGGGGTTTGGGCTTAAAGATAAAAGCGACAATAAAAGTCTTATAGAGACTCTTGACATTACTAAATAGAAGCATCTTGATTTGATATTATCCTTGTTTCCTTTTGTCGAGAACCTGATTTTTTTTTGGGGGATTAGGTAGGACTAAAAGACTCAAGGTTAATTACTATGTCAATGAAAATTTGACCAATTTATTAGTTGCATCGTGTATGAATTGAAATTATCCAACTTTGTCTTCTCTGACTTCTCATCACAAATTCACCGTTTTTATGAAACAAAAAATAGGGGGACTTTACAAAACAAAATAGACATAACATTTTGTTAGTTGTATTAATTGAATTCATACAACTTTAATTTCCCTAACCACATCTTATCACAAATCGACCCTTTTAATATAGAGAGAGTACATAACAGTCACACAAAATGGAAAAACATAACAAGATAGACATAACTTATACTTCTACAAATTGTAAGTAGAAAAAGCTGTCCTTTGGTCTCATCTATTGTTATCATGTTCTTGAGATAGAAGAACATAGCTGCATTTTCTTGACCAATCTTTGTATCATCCTGTAAATGAAACTTGCTCTTTTCTTCCTGACCGTCTCTTGACCCAATTTATGCTCTCCAATCTCAATCCCTTGACCCAGAGCTTGGCTCACCTGGAAATATTTTGAAAGAACCAACAATTTAGATATCTCTATACTGGTTTCAATGTAGTGAGTGGTGAAAAGTGAAAACAAAGTAACATGATTAGCATTTAGAGTAAAAAGAGATAATAAATCTCACCTCTTGAGTTAATGTCACTAACTTGATTGTTGAGTCAGGAGATTGTTGAGTTTTGATTTGGTCTATCCGATGATTTGAGCTAGCAAAACTATCACAAGAGCTCCAAGTTTCAATAAAATTCTGTGACACCAACCAAAATTAGCTTTGTGAGATGAAATCTCAAAACAGAGGAGATTTATAAAGGTATATAGTAGAACTTAGCTTACTGTATTTGGAGATAGCAAATCAGAATCATTATCATCACTGCTATAATCAATGAAGACACCAGTCAATGGCTTTTGAGGTCTGTGGTCGTTGCGATCATCTTGCATGTTCACAATATAATTCATCTGCTCATCACCATCATCATTCAACCAGGTTTTCCATTCCTCAGTCGATGTAGTTGCATCATCAAGCTGAGCTTCTTGGTGGACATCAGAAAAGCCACTAAACTGACTTGGATTCTGTAGTTCTTGGCTATACGACGATCCCTGAAAAAGGATGTCCATGACTATGTGTATGAGAAATGATATCGAAGATTTTAAAAGACAAAACAGAGATAAGTTTGAGATTGGCCGACCTCAGATCCTCCAGAATTGTTCACAAGAGGGATTAAAGAGTGAATCTGTTCAATTTCACTACCAGTAGAAGAAGAAGAAATCTCTGTCTCTTCACCCTTAAACTCAACTTTGCAGATTGTATACGTCATCACCTGTACAAAAATCAAAACACAGACGCATCAAAACAGTGAAACCAATCAACATATCAATCAAATCACAACAGCCACACAAAACCCCAGAATTAGGTCAATTAAACAACAGATTAAACCCTAAGAACCTGGAATTAGGTCAAGCAACCAAAAAAAACCCTAAAAGTTTGGATTTTAAGAAATTACCTGATTAGGAAACAAGGACGTAGCGTGATACTCGTGCATAACCCAATCGGTCTTGGAACTATCTCGATTCTTAAACACCAAAACCCTTTTCTCACCGATCTTCTCACGATTACCTCTTTTGCGCATGATAGTCAAGGTTTTTCCAGTTTTCTTCCAAAAGCCAGAATTTGTTCTTCTTCTCTGTTGATCACCTCTGTTATACTTCATCTCTTTAAGACTAAAGAAATACCAAACCCCATCACTCGATTTGATCATCGACTTGGCTGTGAATAAAAAAACAGAGGAATTCAGAGCCGATGATTTCGAATTCGATACAACAGTTTGGGAAAAAAACTTTACTTACAAGGTAAATCCCAAGGATCGGAGTCACAGATATCGACTGTGCTAATGACTTCATCGACATGGCTCGTGTCACTATCGAGATTTTTTGGCCGGAGGTAATGGTCGACGATCTCTTCGTCGGTCGGACGGAATCTGAAACCCACCGGATTCACCATTATCCGAGAAAAAGGGGTCAAAATATGTAGCAGAGAGGTTTCGCCATTGACGATGCTCTGCAAGTTTTGTGTTTTTTTTTTATAGGAGGAAGACGAGTTAAGTGTGTTTATAATTTTTTTTATATAAAGGCTGTGACGGGAGTAAGTGACGTCATCTATGACCAAATGGTGGGACCAAATTAGTGTGTGACGTCAAGTATGACGAGAGACGGACCCATCATCCCAAGAGTCACATGGGATTAGCAATTAGCTTGTTTTATTCGGTTTTTTTTTTTTTTGGATCAAAGGTCGTTTTTTTTTCTTTTTCTTCGGCATTTGTGGAGATTTCAAATCCAAAAAAAGATAAAGTATTAAAATAATAAAATAAACAAGTGGAAATTGATGAAATAATAAAGTGCTAAAGCTACCCCTAGGGGCTAGTGGCTAAAATCAATCACAGAAGCTGAATGGATTTAGACATATTCTATCTTTGTTTAATTAATGCCTTCCTTTTATGACCGACCGCCTTCACGATCAGAAACTATTTACATTTCTGGTTCGTTTTATAAAGGTAAAATACACAATAAAAAAAAAAAGTAAAGGTAAAAGATTTATCTAATTATGACGACCTTTAAGATATTCTAAATGTTTTAGGCCTACTTTAGTAAAAAGTTAGCATTAGCCTAATGGGGGTTTGGACTTCACCATCAACATGAGTAGATGACAACATGAGCGTGGTACACATATGATGTAGACTAAAAGTCCAAAAGAGACTCTTGACATTACTAAAATCAAGTATATCTTGATTTGATAGATAATATTCGTTCTTGTTTTCTTTTGTCGAACCTGAAATCTTTTCAGGGGGTTAGGCAGGACTAGAAGAGTCGAGCTACGTTGATTGCTACGTGAAAGAAAATTTGACCATTTGGTTAGCTGTATGATTTCAAATTATACAACTTTGTATTCTCTAACCACATCTTATCACATATTCACAATTTTATTTTAATATACATACAATGTGGAAACGTTACAAAACGAGAAAGACACATAACATAAACTTCTACAGATTTTGAAAGTACAAAAGGTGTCCTATGAAACAAAAACTTTAGCTTTGTGAGGGTAAATGTGAAAACAGAGGATTAGAAAGGTAAGATAGTAGATTTTTGCTTACTGTTGTAGCAGGAATCAAATCACAATCATTATCATCACTGCTATGATCAGCGAAGACACCATCAGTCATTGGATCTTGAGGTTTTTGATCGCTGCGAAATCCCCTTGCATAGAAACAATGTTACTCTATCTCTGCTCATCATCATTGAACAAACTGTCCCAGTCATCAGTCGATATATTGTTGATAGCCCTGCGCACTGCATCTTCCAGTTGAGTTTCTTCCTGCACATCAAGTTGTTGTCAGATTCTCCATGACTATGAGATATGATTTGAAAGACAAAAAGTGAGATTGACCCACCTCTGTCTCTACACTAAAAACTCCAAAATCGTTGGTATGAGGGATCAAAGAGTGAGTAAGCTCAATTCCACTACCAGAAGAAACAGAACCCTCTCTGCTTTCACCCTTAAACTTGACTTTGCAGAGTGTATATGTCATCAGATTAGGAGACGAGAACGTAGCGTGATACTCATGCATAACCCAATCGGACTTGAGACTCTTGTTAAAGTAAAACATCAAAACCTTTTTCTCACCGATCTTTTCGCGATTTCCCCTTTTGCGCATGATATTTATGGTAACTCCAGTTTTCTTCCAAAAACCAGACTTGGTTTTTCTCATCTGTCGATCACCTCTGTTATATTTATTCTCCTTACGACCAAAGAAATGCCAAACCGCATCACTCGATTTGATCATAGACTGGGCTGGCAAAACAGAACAAGAAACTATTTTAACAGCTGTTGGGAACCAAAAAAAAATATATACACTCGTGAGTGTACTTAAGTAAAGACTTACAAGGTAAATTCCAAGGTTCTAAGCTACAGATATCGACTGTGCTAATGACTTCATCGACATGGCTCGTGTCACTTTCAAGATTTTTCACCCGGAGGTAATGGTCGACTATCTCCTCGTCGGTCGGACGGAATCTGAAACCCACCGGATTCACCATTTTCCGACGATGACAAACGTTTCAGATCAAAAAGCAAGAGAAAACGAAGATATCAGAATATGAAGCAGAGAGCTTTCTCCTTGGTTTGTGTTTATAGATCAAGAGGAACTATTACCGACAAGGGTGGACCCATTAAGCAGGTATGAGGGCCGGGCAAATTCTCTTAGGTGAGCGAAAGCTAAAAACATAAAAAAGCTAAATAGTCAATGCCTTCTTATGTGACAGTCTTTTGTGACAGTCTTATGTGACAGTCTTATGTTCTCCATTCATATTCACTTTTCGCGTTTCTCATACCTTTCTTCTCTTTTGTTTTCTTCTAACATTTATCAGTGAGACGCTATTAATGTCCTTATCAATCTTTGATTCACGAATAAGAGAAATATATTCCACCCACTAGATCTCTTAATTTTGTGACTTTTGCTTTGAGTGATAAAAAAAAAGGGTTTGTAAGTTGCAATATTGCATTTTGATAAAACATTGGCATATAGTGTGGCATTTTTTCCCATATAGTTATTGCACTATCATGTGACAGTTGTTACTCCCAAGTCCCAACACTTAAGATGAAATATGCATTTCCTTTTCTTTTTTTCCTCATGTATGCTCCCCTTTACTAAATTTGATGGCCATTTTGGAAAATATATACAATGAGTTTATGTTTAACGTTGACTTTAACATTAATGAGTTTATTTAGGTAAATTATTTATGTCAAAACAGAAGCTTTTTAAGTTAAGCTTATAGATTCGATAACAAAAAGTAAACCACATTTTAGTTTGTATATATATATAGGAAACTTCGTAGAAGGCGACAAGGGGTAACCAGACATCATAAAAGTAAAAGCCGAATAGGAGGAATTAGCATTCAATTTGTGAATATTAAATTTACAAAAGACAAAAAAAGAGTTGAACCTTGTTTCATATGACTATCGGCGATTAGCTACTACCAAAACTAATGTGTTATTTTAGTTAAATTATTTCAAATTTTTTATTTATATCTAACATGTCTAGGTTTAAATTTCCATATTCGAAGTGATGTAAAACTTGATTGGTACATCATAATGAATAGAGTACAGTGAAATAATCCAATGGTCAAATAACAAAAAGCTTTAGTTTAATACTAATAGACAAATAGTTTCCGTTGAATCATCATTAACTAAACACTAAAAAAACTTATTTCACTGGATTAATGATATTTATTAATTTTAGTTCGACTCTTATCTTTTTAATTAAAGCTAGTTATAATTTTAGAATGTAGCTCTTCACTTTTTTGTAAAACAATAACGTCAAAACTTGATAAATATTAGAGATGAATAACGAAAAGTAGTAGAATCACGTTTTCAAGCTGAAAACTGCTTATACCATTCATTACGTATAATTGTGATAGTGTTTGTTTTTCAATGATACAAATATGGACACTGCTATGAATATTGAATTACAAAAAGTGTGGAAGAAAATCCTTCACAAAGAGAAAAGAAAGCATATATGCAGAGTGAGCTATGATTTACTTGATAAGGAGGAGACCAATGGCAGTGACGATGAGTGTTGAAGGTAAACCGAACTTGAAGTGTTTAGTGAAAGTCAGAGTGTAGCCATGGCTCACTGCTCTACGAGCTTGCTCACACACTATCAGGTTTGCTGCTGAACCAAGCAACGTCAAGTTTCCAGCCACCGTGCTCACCCACGCCAGCAACAACCACGCCTTCTTCTCCTCCTCCCTCCCCATCGCTGATGCCGCCACTCTTGCTCCCAATAAAAGCACTGCACACAATTTGATTTAAAAAGAATTGAGTCATGTAAGGTTCCTTTGGAATCAAGATTTTGTCTGAAGTTGTTTGTGGAGGCAGCATAAGATGCTTAGTTTTAAGGATAATGATGCTACCGGTTGGTACATTGGAGGCTACATTGGAGAGGACAAGAATCACAACTGCTAGAACCGCCGTTCCTTTGGCTTCATCGATTTTGGCATATGGCTCCATTAGATCCCATAGAGCGGTAGGGATACCTGTTTTGTTGAATCCATCAACGGTAATGAACATCCCGCAGAAGAAGATCAATAGCGAATATGATACCTGCCAACCACAACAGAAGAATTTGAAACTTCGATTAGATCTATAGTTGATTTGTATCTTAAAAGAGTTAAGAGAAAATATGGTTTCACCTTCTCGAGAGACGGCCTTGCATCTTTAAAATCAAGAACGACAAGAGCTAGAGCTGCAGTAATTGCGGTCCACGACATGTTTAAACCCATAACCAGAGATATCAGCATTCCTAATGTGATCAAATAGACACTTGATTTCCATAAAACTCTTCTCCATTTCTTGGTATGGAAAACATTGCTCTCTCCTTGAGACTCTGCGTCAGTTTGTTCTCTTGACGCATTTGAATCGCGGCTCATTAATTCACTCTCACCTGCAGAAACCGCTCTGTTTCTAAGCGTCTCGGGATCCATTCTGAAGTTTGATTCTTCGGATGCAACTGGTGAAAATGTAGCTGGCGAAAACCGATGTGATGTGACATCTTCTTCAGCAACAGCAAGAACTTCAGAATCCGCATTTTCTCCTGCTTCTTCTTCGTCCTCTTTATGATCTGACAATAGCCGCCAATACATACCGAGAAGAAGCATAGCATTGACGGTAATACCAACAATCATCGCAGGAAAAACCCCAAGAAGAAACTCCCAAAAGGGGATCTTGCTTTGAACCGCGATAACAAGATTCTGTGGATTCCCAATGGGAGTAGCAGAAGAACCAATATTCGCACTCGTGGCCAAAGCGAGCAAAAAAGGGTGAGGCGGGAGGTTCTTTTGCCTAGCGATCTTCAACACAAACTCGGTTAAAACCACACAAGATGTATCGTTAGTAAACAGAGCGCTTGAAACCGCGGAGACAAGACAGACTCGACATAGCAAGTCTTTAGGTCCTTTACTCTTCCACGAAAGCAATGTGCCTAAGTACTTGAACATATCAGCTCTCTCAAGATATATACTAACAACCATTGTTCCAAAGAGAAGACCGAGTATCGGAAGATCAATGGCTGCATAAGCTTGTTCCGGGGTTATCACTTGGAAGATAACCATTAACATTGCACCGAACAGAGAACCGGCGGTTCGACCAATTGGTAGGAACGGCACAGAGGGAAACACTGCTAATACCCAGAAAATGGCAAAGGCTATTGATCCTAAAACCAGCTTTATAACTGGAGCCATTGCCATTTTCTGATCTCTGGATTTTCAGATCAATTACAAAAAAAGCATGGACCTTTTATTAACCCTAGTAGTGAAATTGGAGGCTGTGAAATCCAGGATTAGATCAGAAACCCCAAGAAAAATCTCAGGACGTTGACGATCGTCTCTGTTGAAAAACAAGAAAAAAAGGGCATTTAAATTTTCCAAGTCAAAAAGACAGTAATTGGATAATCAAACAAATTTGACCACTTTCTGACACATAAAGAGAAATTTCTCGAATATAAGTTTTAAAATTCAGTTTCTGAAGAAGTAATCGAAGACGAGAGTGTGACAATTTCAAAGAAGAACGCTCAGAGAAGAAAAGGACTCACCTTTATAGTTCACCACGACGAACTCCAACAACCAAAAAGACAGCCTTTCCAATTTTCTTTAATTTCAATAAAAGTGAAGACACTGAAAAGCTCTCTCTGTTTGTGTTCGCTGTTTCAGATCTTCCCTTTAAGCAATTTTTCATGAAATTAACAATGATTTTTTGACACGTCATTTGGATTAATCAAGTGTTTCTTTTATTATAACAGCCAAAATTGAAGTGTTAAAACTATTATTAACGAGTCAACTCTTTTGTTGATAGAGATTAGAGACCAACATGATAATGTACTTTAAAAATAAGATAAATTTTTTAATCCATCTTATTGGCTCAAAGTTTAAAATTCCTTTAAATTCCACAAAAAGTCGATTCATTAAGAAAACAAAATCTTTAATTCTATCAGAAACAGTGTTGCAATTACAAAACTATACAAAATACAAAGGTTTTAGTAAACTTCTCATTGCAAATCTCAATCTCATTGCTTCTTTACATTTACAAGAGCCATAATAAACAAAACTTAGCTGCATAGCATTTTGACCGGCGAGAATTGTACGGTGAGGCAAGCATGATCGGACAGATTGTAATTCTCCGGCCACAATCCTTTCTCTGCTTCTTGTGGATACAATACAGCTTTATTCACTTTCAATCCGATTGCTTCATCATCTCCTTCATCTTTGTCACTCTCCATCACACTCTCTTTGCAGTTTCCAGGTTCATTTACCATCGTCATGTTCCAAATTTTCTGACATTACATAACACACACATCAGAGTCTTGATTGACGTTTTAAACAAAGCTACCGGTTTGTGATTTCCGTTTTACGCTAATTGGTTTAGTTTAATTTACCTTAAGTTCTTCATAGTCGAAGACACCATTTCCATCAAGATCAGCTCGAACCCATAGCTCTTTCGTCTCTTCGAAGCTAAGTCCATGTGGAATTCCCGTAAGATTTACCTACCCAACAATATCAAATTTTGATGTCAGCTAAAAGTCCATTCATCGTTCAAAGAAATTGTAAATATCTGGAAGAACTTATTTGATCCTTATTCTACTGTTATGATAAGTGAAATCTCTAGATGACCACAAAGTGTTTCCAGAAGTGTCAAATTCCAGTTAGAATTTGTAAATTGAAGATTTTTTAACAGCATTTGTGGATAATTGAGGTCTCTCTAGGCTCTTTTTTTCCTGAAGAAAATACGTATTTACCTTTTGAAGGGCAAGGCAAAAGTCAGAGTAGGTGAGTGAATCACTGTGATTATTTGCCCCAAGAAAAGCAAAGACATCGTCCTCGGCTATGGAAGCTTTGTGGAGTTGATACTGGAAGAATCATCAAGAGAAATCAGAAATAAACTAAAGTGGACATGAAAATATAGTTTAGGAAAAAAAGTAAATTTGGAAAGAATGAGACATGACACTGTAAGTATGATGCGACTCGACATTTTATAATTCTGAAAATCTCACCTTGATAATGCTAAAAACAGCTTCCACCCAACTTGTTCTCAATGGTTTTCTCGAATCGCTAGGGTTACAGAGCCATATGAAATCAACTCCGCATATATTTCCCCTGTGGTTTCTGTGGCTAACCCACTGAAGAAAAAAATGAGAGAAAGACGGATAAGGATGTCTCTTTTAGAATATGAGCCGAGTTTTATATAACATAAGGCTGGAGAAAAAAAGTTTGTAAAAGATGTCTTACCCTATGAGCATCACTGTCGGTATACTGGTGAGCATCGTCGTATGATGATATGAACCCTTGAGATCTCAAGAATTTGTAGACATGCCCGCGTTTGCTTCCATTCCAGTCACTGAAATAAGCATAATTCAAAAGTCTGTGATTACATTTTACCGGTGGAGGGGCACAATTTCAAGACTCTAAAGACCAGAAGCTAACCCGCAGAGAATAATGGGCATGTGATTAAGTTTATTTTCCTTTTGGAAAGCTTCCAGATATTCAAGAATTTTGTAAACCTGTTAAGAGGAGCAGAGATAATCAAATTAAACTATCACAAGATCCAAGGGGAGCGGTCTCAAAATGCTAAATGATGGGAAGGATGACCAACCTGATGAAGTCTTACAATAGACAAACTAGAATCGTGAGGAAACAACAGGTGAGTGTTCACTATAATGACTTCTTGTTGAACATCTTGCTTCCCATTAAGCGGAAAGGGAATAACTGTTTTGACATGTAAGAGCTGAGCAACACGGTCTCCAAAATCGTTAAAGAGCAGCTCCCGGTAATTTACAACTTTAAAGTGGTCCTTATGTATGGCTGTTAAAAGACCTGTAAGCAAGTCCACAAATGAGACATCAAAGGCGAAGAAGCCTATCTTTGATAGCATTGACTTTAAATTTCAGTCCATATTTTTACTCCATCCATAAAAACAGTCATAGAAGGTAAGATTGCCGCTTAATACGGCATACGACAGTAAGATCATATAAACACCAACAAGTAACCTTTGACACCAGAAAGATCCTGAACTACCATTTTTCAAGACATGAAAGTGTATAGACTTGGACCACCCTAAACTATTAACTGAAGCATATCAAGCAGCAACATTGAGCCTCTTCAGTTGACAGAGACCTACAACAATTCAGCAATATTCTACTCTTAAGTCTAAACCAGAGCTGACACCATATTCAATCAAAAGAAGTAAAAACATGATAAAAAAAAAAGAATGTTACCATCACCACGACTGTTTGTTCTAGCCAACTGGAAAATAGTGTAGCCAGAAGTGCCAAGCTGGTCGTGGTACATGTTGACTAATTCCTCATTCCCAACCCAAACTTCCTATGAACAGTCACAGTTGCCAAGAGTCATATACAAAAAGTCAATTACTACTTTCTAAGAATAAATTTTTCACAAAAGAAAATTCTAATTACCTGGAGACAGATAACTGAAGAGCGTTGATGGATTAGCAAATCTAGAATCCTCTGGTTACGAGCTAACCAAAGCGAGCGAGAATCGCTCTCTCGAATGCTATGATTCTGCAATAACACCCAACACAATCAAACCAATGTCGTCGATTCCAGAATCAACAGGTAAAGAGTGAAATCAGAAGAAACCTTTTGATCAACGCGTTTATAAATCGGAGCCAAGATATTGAAAGTGGTACAAGAAATATTCGATTCCACCATTGAAGAAGCTAAGTTGGAGTTGAGTCTCTGCACAAACAAACACAATCGGCGAATCAAATCTCAGAACAATTAGAAAGAAGAAAAACAATCACATGGAGGAAGAGCGACGAACCATAACTGAAAGCGGCTTGTTGTTTCTGCCGGAGAGTAGACCGGAAAAGTAGATCGGAAAAGGAACGGCAGCGAGGACGACGAAGAGGGAGAGTGGTGAAGAGAAGGAAGGGATGAATCTAGACCGTAGAATTAAGCTCAGCCTGCTTCGATTCTGATGGCTTTGCATTTGAGTTTTTTTTTTTTTTTGAGGCTTTCTTTCGAATTCTCAAAAGATCTTTTTCTGATTTTATAAATTTCCTTCGGATTTATATCCGTCTCTTTTTTTATATATATTTGGCAGTACTTGATTCTTTTATTTTATTCATTAATTTAAAATTTTATGAACCGTTTGTTTTAGTAAATATCTATTTTCTTCATAACTTCACTGAATTAAAAGACTACATATGTAACAACACAAGGTCTTCTTCTCTCTTAGCAAACAAAACATTCATTCTCAGGTCCATGTAATTTCTTTTACAATGACTATGTAATTTCTTTTACAATGACTATGTAAAAAGAAATCTTATAAAACTAGTCTATTGACCAATTGAAGAAGTTTCTTTAGTGTAATGGTAGATTTTAGTATTGGCCATTCATGGAAGTTTACAATGATTATAACGTATAAAATCATACTTCAATTTGTCGACCATTTTTATAGATTTATGAGAAAAGGTAAGTAAATAAAGAAACTGCAAGGAAGATTGCAGGAGGAGAAGCGCGTCTGTGGCTGGGCTATGTCGGTGCTCATCACACGGTCGTGTACCACACCGATTATGTATTGTCCTTTTACAGCAATTTTTTATGTCATGCCTTCAAAATATCAAATTGCTTAACCACGTTGTATTTTATTTATTTATTAATTTTTTTGCTTCTTTATTAAATGTCAACGCATAAACAAATGCTACTAAGAATCTTAAAATTTTATACCTTTTTTTTTTCTCTTTTAATTTGTTCACTTGTTAATAACCAATCTTTATCTATTCATCGGCATACGATATTTTAAAATTGTGATCACTTCCCAAATTTTCAATCAATTTCCCCAAATAAAAGAATTTGTTGCATGAATGGTTTATTTAGTTTCAGAATAATCGAGTCTCTTTATTTGCGAAATTCGAAATCTCGCAATGTATAGGTTCCCGCATTTGCTTCTTTTCCAAAAAAAATCTGTGCAGCAGAAACTTCTTCACCCATTCCAAATGCAAGTAAAGAAAATCATTTGTTTCTTACCTCTTCGATTCCTAGCTACTCTTTCGATACATTCTTTCTATTTCTTTGTTCTCCCTTTCCTCTCTTTTTTGAATTATTTTATTAGTGAAAACTTTTATGAGAACTTTTTGATAAAGGTATTCTAAGTCCGGTTTGTTTTCGAGGTATTCAAATTTAATACTTAAATTTTATTTTTCAAACAAAAATATTTTGTAAAATCAAAACTTTTAGTTAAGAATCAAAATTTTTTTACTTAAAACTTTACTTTATTTTAAAATTTGGAAAAAAATAAAGAGAATGAAAGCTCGAAAGGGACTCGAAAAAGAGGCATAAAACCATTTCTAAACCATTTACTTAAAAATGTAAGTTTAATCAAAATTAAAAATATTTTTGTTTTTAAGTAAAATAAATAAATTAAATGTTAAATTTATATTATGTATAAACAAGTTGAATCTAGAATACCTCTTAAAGACCAAATAATATGGATGGGATGTTGTGTCTGGTAGGTTCTCACAAATTTTAAATTTATCCCTTAAAGAAGAAATTTAAATAAAAATATTATGTATACTTAAAAAAATAAAACAGTTTATCTAAAATATTATTTTAAAAAACGAAAAAACTTGAAAGTTTAAATAGTGATTCATAAAGCGTTTAAATTAAAACTCAAAATTAAAAAAACGTGTTTAAATACGTATAAAACAT